TAGTTGACCAGTATTCAGAACCTCTCATAATTCATTAGTCACTTGTCTTACCAGCCCGCAGTGAGCTCTGAGCTTGGTTTGGCTTTGAAGGTGAGCAACTCCTGCCCTCCCTTCTGGTAACTTCAGAAGCTGCTAGAACAACATGTTTTACAGGATGTAAAAGCCACAGCAAAGAGTGAGCCTTAGATCCTTCTGCTAATTAGGGCTTCCTGGTTGCAAGTAATGGAAGTCAGCTTGAGCTAGAGTGAGCAAAATTGTAAGGCCTATTAATAACATTGCAGGTATGGCTCAGATCTCAAACACATCAAGGGTAACTGGGCTTGCAAGGCAAGCCGAGAAGCTAGGGCCAGGAGTGGGAAGCAGCACTCCATTCTCCCCCTTGTTTCTCTGTCTCTTCGCTCAAAGCTCCCTTTACCTTTCTCCTACAGATAGGCCTGCCCTCCATTCTCACCAACATGGTAGGCTGTGGTTCCCCTATAGTCAAATGGGGACTCTCAAACCAGTTCCAGATTTCCAGGGAATAATAAGCCTCTGTCCCTAGTGCAGTTCACACTAAATGTCATGTCTGTGTATATGACTGGGGCTGGGGGGTGAGGGCAGGTAGATACAGACATGTAATACAACCATTATGAAGGGCACTCACATGAATTGGGCAGAGGGTTTGCAGGGAAGTTTCCTTTCATTCTCCAATTTAACCATTAACCCTCAATATATTACTTGTCTTAGCCCATAACTGATTTTTCAATCTTTTATATATTCAATCTAGAAAAATAAAAGAAAAAAGTTCACATAATTATGCTATAATGAGATGGAAGAATGCACAAAAATTATTTTACTGGTATCTCACTATGTTCATCTTTATCTGGTCATTTTTATTTACAATCTGAATAATGTTACTGTAGTGGTTTGATCTAAATTCTTACAAGCGCTTAACCTGGAAATATTTTTAATTCTTGTTTTCCTGCAGACTAATGATTCTATTTTCTCATTCCTTTCTTGGGGACTTCTTTTAGGAAAGGTTACTTTTTCCTGAAAGTTAGTGACCAGCAATTCTTCTCTGAGCCACAGCTGATCAACATACAAGCATTTTCAACACAGGTAATAGAAGTGCCACGCAATTAGTATTTCACATGCCTACTAATTCTCGAGCACAAATCAAGGGTTCTTGTAGCTTTAGCAAAAAATGATTGAGCTAAATTAATTTTGTCTCAGTTCCTCAGTTCCTGGCATGATTTTCAGTACTTGTGGGTAGTGACAACAGGAACAGTCATTAACACGTCTGTGGTGCCCGTCCCGTGTTTCTCATCTAGTCCCCAGCAAGCCTGTGAAGTAGTGTTATACCCAGTGTACAGAGGAGGAAACTGAGTCACAGAAGGTTAAGTAACTTGTCTGTGGTGCCATAGATGATAAATAGAGAGCGAAGGTTTGTGCCCAGTGAATTTGGCTACAGAGTCTGTGCTCTTGGCTGTTATATTATGGCACCTTGCTTACTATACTGGATCTGATACTGGCCCTGCAGAATAATTTGAAGCTGTTCCAGTTGTTAAGACTTCCCTCTTCTTATATAAACAAGTTTGTTTTGTCTAAATATTTCTGTCTCAGGGATATGGAATTATGTTTGGCTACCTCTGCCTATCTAACATGTGTGCAGTCTGCACTGAGCTCTGTAGTTAGAGGACCTACTTATGAGGCAGCAGTGTGGCCATCCTTAGCCAAACCTAAGTCTGAGGAAATCGTGGTAGGTGCTGTAAAACTCAGTGTGATGGCTCTTCAGCTTGCATCACTCATCTCAGTTAAGTGTCCAGAATACATGTAGCAGCAGGTGCTCTGAGCAACTTGGCTGGAGGGATTGAATAGCTGAAGGGTGCAGAGTAGGAAGATAGGCATATTTGGAAGTCGTGAACAGCAAGAGAGTGGGATATCAGTATAGAGAAGCAAGACTACCTAAATATCCAGATCTCAGGAGTGGCCATCATGAGTCAAAGAAGGACATGAGATCATTGTTTTAAACTGATATTTTAATATTTTTGGTCCCCAAATACAAAGATCATGGACTGTGGAACCCTGAACCAGAAGTGGCTGCCAGATAGTATTCCCAGCCCAGATCAGGTCTTAATGGAATTCTTACTTCAGGGGTGACTAAGGTTGAGGAATGATTAGAAATTGGTCCCAAGTTTATTTGACCTCAGGGTTGAGCTAAGAATATGAATTTTGTTTTAATTAAAGCTAAAACATGTGATCTCTGTAAATATGGGCCAGAAGGCCACATCAAGTCTCAGAACTCACTGGCTTAGGTGTTTCTCAGTACTAAAGTTCAGAAGTTTTGTTCTGTTCTTTTTGTCCATGCTAACATAGTTACACCAAGTAGCTGAATAGAAAATTGAGGGTGTGTATTGGCAGATGACTTCCTTGTATGAGGTGGTGAGTTCCCGTGGTTCCATGATTTTTGTTCGTTTTCTCCAAATCAAGTAATAGGCATTGAGGACACATTTTTATTTCATTTATTATAATGATGAACTTTTATCTTTGTAACTTTTTTAAAACAATCTTAGAAATGAATTTTAACTAATTTTTGTTTTCTCACATTTCTGTGATATTTCATGAGCCTCCCTGACATTTTTCCCATGTAAATTAATTTTATTTTTTTCACATACGGATTTGACATCCCTTTGGCCTCTCCTCTTTCAGAATCTAAGGGGCTGTTCATTCCAAGGTATAGAATCATAGCTTTTGAATTCTCACTGGGGAATTCTGAGGAGTAGCTATGATACGGTTTCTTACTATGTGATTATTATAATGATGCATTAATTAGAGATTACTTTCATAGATATTGAAATTTCCAGGAGGCCAAGAGGGGTAGTTATAAAAGGAATCTGGGTTAAACAAAGCAATGTCCTGAGAAAACCCTAGATGGTTCAACTTCAAAAGAGACAAAAATACCAAGATAATGTTTCCTTTGGCTTCTGGCCTTGATTTTTTTGGTGAATTTTTTTTTCTTTTGTGGTTCATTAACTTTCATCTGTATGAAAGAAAAATTTTATCTGCTTACTCAACTTGGTTGGGGGAAACCTAATAATCCTAAGGAAAGTATATTGAAACTTGCCAGATGAATTAACCAGCTGGTAGCCTTACTCAGACCATGATCTTATCAGGCTTTATAATCTGCGTTGGGGTGAGCCCCTTCAAGATATGGATGAGATGGGTGAAGAAAATTGCTGGGAGGAACCAGTAACTGCACATCTGAGCAACAGCACGCATTCAGAGTGTAGCAATAGCTTTCTCCGCCAGCGTGCTGCAGCCTAGCCTGCCGTGAAGTGCTCGACCGCCAACCCAAGTGTAAAAGCTCCCTGCTCCTGATGAGTCCCTCTCAAATGCGGACACCTGATTGGGTTCCCTGACACTAAGCTAATGTCAGTTACAATGCAGGGGATGTAGTGTAAATCAAGATAGCAGAGACTTCGAGAGGTTTAGAAGCAAGCAGCTCACCTCAGTTGCTTCTGGTGATTACTATGGTCTTGAAGTGGCTTGAGGAACTTCACGGGTGTGAAGTAACTCCTTTGCTGCAGTTACTAGGATTGACCACACCTTTGACAAGTACTGGCATGGTCCAATAATTTGACACTCTGCTGGGGCATCTAGAGTTCCTTGAAAAGCATTGAAGTATGGATCAGGTTGTATGCAGCCCCATCTGGTCCATTGAGTTGTTCTCTTTTCTTGCAAAATGACTCTTCTCCTGCTTCCCTTCAACTCCACAGGCCCCCTATGTGCTGAGAAATGAGGGCCTCCATATTAGCCGAGGAGAGAGGAGCACCATCACCACCCAGCTCCTTGACATCCGAGATAATGACAACCCACAGGATGTAGTCATTGAAGTGCTCAGTCCTCCCCTTCATGGCCAGTTGCTCCAAACCCTTCAGTCCCCTGCAACCCCTGTCTATCAGTTCCGACTGGATGAACTCTCCAGGGGCCTTCTCCACTACGCGCATGATGGCTCAGATAGCACGTCTGATGTTGTGGTCTTGCAGGCCAGTGATGGACACTCCTTCCAAAATATACTGTTCCATGTGAAGACTGTGCCCAAGGTAGGTGTCATTCCTAGAGCTACAATTTCCTTGCACCTAAATGTGAAGTTTTGTCGATGATGTTATTTTTTCATATTCATAAAGTTATGTATGGATAGTTATTTATTCAAACATGTATTAAGCACCTATTATGGAGATACTTAGGACATTCACAGAGTAATAGAATACATTGCTCAGTCTTAGGGGGCAGTATATATTTTGTTAGGAGCATTCTTTTTTTTATTATTACAGGGGTGTCCACACTTCGGCTTTTTTTGTTGTTGTTAGGAGCATTCTTGATTGGAAAGGCCTGTCTCCTCCATGTTCTCTATAAAAGAGAAGTTTTGAACCCTTATGTTAACTTAGTGCTGTAAAAATGCCTCACTGTCCACTCCTCATTTTGTCTTCTACCTGAGCATGATTATAAGAGTCAAGTGCACCCCTGTTCTCTCATGTGTCCTTCTCAAACAGCTCATGCAATGTGAAGCTCATAGTCAGCTTATCATAGTGGACAGAAAGCATGAATGCAGCCATTCTGTTAGCCCAGCTGAGGTAGATTGAGAGAACTCTGGCTTCTAATAATCATAGGAACCCTTGGCTTAAGGGCTAGGAGCCCAGTAAAGAGCAGTGTTTCTCCGCCTGAGCCATTCCCATGTCACCTCCCTATGTTTTTACCATATCTCTTGAGAACCTGTCCTGTTATTGACTTAATATTATTTTGAGTCAACTTAGTTTTTTAGTGTGGCCTCATCCTAATAAGTAATACTTCTGAAATCATGGGCTTGATGTAGAATTTTGCTTTTTTCTAAAATACTAAAATTAATACATAACCATTTAATAAAATTTCATTCAGGCACTACATAAATGTTTTTGGTCACTACTAATGGTATGTCTATCACATTTGGGGAAATATTGGACTAACCCATATTAGATCAAAGAGATCTGCTGAAAAATACTTTCAAAACCATTAATTACTTGATAATATTTCACTAGAAGCTCTTGGTTATAGCAAGAATGGCTTTCCAATGGTTGTAGATAGGGAGAATTAAATTTTTTTTTGAACTTTTTCTTCCAAATATCAGTACCTAGTGAAGTGTCATTAATGACTAGCTATAGATACTAATTTGCTGAGGACAATTTAGAAATCACTTTATCACTTTCTCACCAACGATCACTTGAAGTTTGTGATAGATCCTTGTGAAGGAACAGCTGAATTTAATATGGGATGCTAGCTAGTTTCTCAGACTATTATCTCATTCTTTTCAGTGCTGAAAACAGTGATGGTGGCATGAGATAGATGGAAGCCAGCGAAGGCTGATTGTGAGGTCGGGTTGGCAGATAGCCACCTTGTAGCTACTCCTAATTATCACCTTCTTGCAGTTGCCCTGGGAGATGAGGTTTGATGTAGTCTCATCCTGAAGAGATGAAGTCTAGACAGACACAGAAAGTTTTCTTTCCTTTCTTCTTGGTTTCTTTCCAAACACTGTTAGTGGATTTAGTGCAGCCCTTATGGCCGCCTCTCCTATCGTGGTTTCAATCTCCATGTTTGGAGCTCAGCTCAGTGTATCACACAGTCATTATGTGTGCTTTGGCCCGAGGTTGAAGAGTATTTTTAGGATTTTAGCTGCTTTGTCTACTGAAACAAAACAAACAACATAGGATTTTAGTTTATAGATAAGGCATAAGCACAGAATTTGAGAATCCTTGTAGTGCTTGTAGCTTGGGAGTCGTATTGGGGTTTACCACAGCTGTCCCTCCCTCCCGGCTCACTCCCCCTTCTCCTATAGTGCTATGCTTACCTGTCCGTCAGGTGAGCTCATGGCTTCTGAGCCAGTGAATTGGGATGATGAAACCAGTGGCCAGAGCCCCAGCATCCATCCAGATGCACAACTAAGAAATCTGACACTATAGTACTGGTAACATTGTACAACTATATATTATGTTTCCTTTTAGGAATTCAAAGTACTTTTCCTCATTTCTATTCTACTGATCTTTACAGTATCTTGGTGAAGAAGGTTAGAATAGAGGACAAATGATCTTATTTCTTCTAAAAAAAAGTCTATGGGTGAAAAATGTTTTTTTTGTTTTTAAACTTTATTGGGCACTAATGCTTCATGTGCATTGCTCCATTTGATCTTCATGATCATCTAAGATGTTTATACAAATATTGTCTCCAATTTTCCAAAAGAGAAAGCTGAAAAAAAGGTTTAAAGACATTTAAAGAGGTTTAAAAATGTCTATCAGGAAAGTATTTCATGCTGAAGCTGTGGTTTCACCTCAGCTGCATCCTGGCTCCTCACACTTCACCACCCAGCTTTTTTCATCCTCACTCATATTTTTCAATGTTTGGTCATATGTGTTCTTATTCCCTTAATGAACAGAATGGAGGCAGTAATTTAGTCATTTTCTCAATGTCCTATCCAAGCAGTCTGGGCCCCAGGCCTCCTGGAATCCCCTCTCTGGACTCTCCATATCTTGGTGCAAGTGAAGCTGTTCGTAATCCTAAGTCTGTTGGAGTCCAGGAAGAAAAAAATGCCACAAGTGTTAATGGCTTCCAGTAGGTTCCCTTTCTAGGGAAGGGCATCCAACTCTTTACCCTGAGGTTACCTGTGTATTAAATTTAGAGTGAGGCCAATTACTGATGTCTAGTTGGTGGCTTAAATGGAATGGCTAATAAGTTTAGGTCTAAATCCAGTGAATGGATGCACGTATTAATCCCAATGTTGTTCAGTGGCAAACTCGACCTGGTAAGACATGTGGAAAGGAAGAGAAAGCCAGGAAAAGGCAGCTTTGCAAGAGCAGTAGCTCACTCAGTCGTGTTCCCTCGAGCCAGGCACATTGTGGGAGTTCAGCACATCCTTGCTGGATGGACAGATAGTGGTGCAGCAGTTTGAGTGAGGCTGTGCCCATGTTCCTGCCTTCGAATCGATCTCTTGTGTCAGATGAGAAACCTTCAGGGTACCATCTGGGACTGAGGGTAGGAGCTGCCAGGTCCAGTCATATTTCTCAAGTTCTACATCACTTCCCCCAAACCTCTGCTTTTATCCTTGGCCTCGCAGCCAGTAAACCTGACTGCCACCATCCAGGTTTATACTGAGTCCCTGAGGAGAAAAGAGACCTGGGACTGGCATTGAAACATGTTCTGTTCTGGAGGAAGAGGTAAAATGAAATAAAAAAGATTAAGAGGTAATAAAGAATGCTCTGCTGAACAGACTTTCATTAATTGGGTGGATTACCAACCCAAGGCTTCAAGAGATACGATGTTAAAGCAGTTTGGCATCTAATAAGGGCTAAAATGTAGGCAGGGAAAAGTCATGCTTATTGGTGGGTTTGTCTCCACTGCTGGGATTTCAAGGAATTACCTTCTTTTCTTTAATTAAAGTGTCTCTGGAAATCATGCCGCTTTTTCCACTTTGGCAATAAATCTCATGATCCTTTCTGACCTCATTTGTTGTTATTGGAGCAGTTATTTTCTGCAACTGGGTAATGCTTTGATGTTAAAAGCCCCCAAGTGTCATGCTATGAACTGGGTGGAAAATTCAATCGCTGAGAGTCCTCTCTGGCTGTTTGACCTTGGTAAGGCCTGTGCGTGGCTAAAAGCCTTTGTGCTATCCCTCAGCTTTTTTTAAAACCTGTCCTCCTATATGTTGTCTTACTGGGGCACAATTTGAAAGCAAGGATGTTTGTGAGAATTGTAAATATCAATGGCACAAAATGTGTATTTGTCTGAGTAAGAGTGCATCTACTTCATAAATAAATAAATCCTCACCATGAGTCATAGTTTCACTTTTTCTGGACTTGATTAGTTTATTCAGTTTTAGTGTCCTGTAAGATATATTGCTCAGAGTATCAACTGGAAATGTATTGGTTTTGGTTACAAAAAAAATTATTTAGTTATTTATAAAGCAGTTGAGCTCTACATGGAGAAAAGATTCCACATTCTTGACCTGAAGGAGCGAAGCTTCTGAGGCACATGTACACATTGACAAACACAGAACAGTCCAAGTACCTTCCCATTGGTCTTCATCCTGGTAGACAGATTTTAAGTTCCACAGTGTCTTACAAGATTAAATTTTAAAGGCTGTGGTATAAATGAACCTTTGCAAATTAAGGTAGATTTTTTACAGAATAAATAAAATGTTAGGTTGCTGTTATGTCCAATTATAGTCACTTCCTATTTAATTAAGCTTAAAAATTTTTATCTTGAATATTTTGGCCAGGCATTGGAGTATACCATCATTTATAGCCCAACCTTTAATTTGGGAGAAGAAGTTTTCAGTTTGTTTGTGAGATTTTTCCTCCAAGTGATAAAAACTCTGGTCCTTATGTCTCATTTGCAACATTAATATTTTTATTTGTAATACAATATATAATGCTTACATTTTATTACCAACATTTCTGTATGTCTACTGTCCTATGAAATGATTTAGAAGAACTATTTAATTTAAAGCACCATTTTAATTATGCCCCCATAAACCCTTGTTGAGATTTCATTGCCTTCTAATGTGGTACCCTGTGGGATATATAAAACACCACTAGGCAAGAGATTTTTCAACTGATATTACAGCTAATTTCTTGAGTTTACAGGGATATATGCATGATTGTGCAGAAAAAAAACACAGGAAAATAAAGAAATTGCAAAATATCAAAACCATTGGGTTTTGATTAAATTAGGTCAAAATTTGTTTGGCTTTTTGGACACTTCAGCTCTAGAAAAGATGGTAGATACCCTTCTAATTATCTCTTGAGTCTTCCCTGGAACCTCTCCCAAAAGAAAGCAACCGACAAAATCATCTTCATCATAATGAAGGAGAAGAATTATATTTCTTTATCATTCACAGTTGTCTGTTTCTTTGTAAGTACTGTAAACAAATAATTCAGAAACAGAGGCATGTGTATTATCCATTTATAAATGTAAATATTCCAAAAGGCCTGTCTGTGGAGTGGGGAAGACTACTCTAGATCCATCACTCTCTCTCTCATAGTCTGTGCTCCATCACTCTCTCTCTCATAGTCTGTGCTTCCCCAATTCAGCATCACTCCACTGCTCTTGGGGATCTTGTTAAAATACAAGCAGAAATGTATCAAACTGAAAAGCTGCACAGCCAAAGAAACAATCCACAAAATGAAAAGGCCCCCTACCAAATGGAAGAAAATATTTGAAACCATGTATATGATGGATAATATCTAAAATATATAAGGAATTCAAACAACTCAATGGCAAAAATAACAATAATAATCCAATTAAAAAATAGGCCAAGGACCTGTATAGATGTTTCTTAAAAGAAGACATACAAATAGCCAACAGGTACGTGCAAAGTAGCTAAATGTCACTAATCATCAGGGAAATGCAAATCAAAGCCACCATGGAATATCAACTCACCACCTGTTAAAATGGCTGTTATTAAGACAAATGATAGCAAGTGTTGGTGAGGGTGGGGGAAAGGGAACATTTATACACTCTTGGTGGGAATGTAAATTGGCACAGCCATTATGGAAAACAGTATGGACGTTCATCAAAAAATTAAAAATAGAACTATCATATGATCCAACAATCCCACTGCTGGGTGTATATCCAAAGGAAATGAAATCAGTATCTTGAAGAGATATCTGCACTCCCATGTCTACGGTATCATTATTCACAATAATGAAGATATGGAGACACCTAAGTATCTGTTGATGGATAAATGTATAAAAAGCACGGTCTTTACAGTGGAATGTTATTTTACCCTTAAGAGAGGGGAAGCCTGTCATTTGTGACAGCTAGGATGAGCCTAGAAGACCTTATGCTAAGTAAAATACACGAGACACAGAAAGACAAATACTGCATCATCTCACTTCTGCTTGGAATCTGAAGAAGTTGGACTCATAAAGGCAGAATAGGGTGGTTGGTTTTCAGGGACTGGGGTGGGGGACATGAGGAGACATTGGTCAAAGGGTGCAAATGTTCAGTTATAACAGATGAATAATATCTGGAGGTCTAATGCACAGCGTGGTGACTATACCTAATACTGTATTGTATACTTGAAATTTGCTGAGAGTTCATTTTACATGTTTTCACCACAAAAAATTTGTTAACCATGTGAAGTAATAGATATCTTAATGAGCTTGATTGTGATCATCATTTCACAGTGTAAACAAATATCAAAACATCATGCTATATATCTTAAATATATACCATTGTTATTTGTCAAGTATACTTCTTGAAAAATATAAAATGAAAAAGATAAAATGCTGATTCTAATTCAGAAGGTCTGATTTAGAAGGTCTGGTGTGGGGCCTGAGATTCTGGACATATAGTCAGCTTACAGATGTTGTTTGACTGACCACTGACTTACGGTCTCCTAAAAATTTGCACCCACATGGGAATTACAGAGATCGTATTGATAAAGTATAGTCAAGATAGAAACGTAGTGTGAGAGACATCAAGGGATGTGCAAGCAGGGCTAACTTGCTTGGAATATGAAAAAGTACATTTCCTCATCAGTCCAAGAAGGTGGTTGCTGGTGTATGACTGATCTCTGTAACCATAATCAAACCTGATGAGGCTGTTGCTATTAGGAAGATTTCTGTCATTTAAGACACTGGGTGCAAGTGTTACACAAAACGCTGCTGGAGTTAATAGAAACTTTTCCCAAAATTCTAGTAGATAACATGCAAACTTCTTGGCATACTTTGATGTCTTTGTAAATAGTATGGTATATCAATTGCGAAGGGGGAAAGTTCTCTGGGCTTTTGTCCCTGAGCACCAGTCACAATAGAGGGCGTCCTGGCTGCTGTTCTCCTGGGCTCTGTTTGACTTGGTTTCTGGGTGACTGATGAAAATAGCTGTGACCACCTCTTGAGAGGGGTAAACACTCTCCTGTCTAACGACTGCAAAAGAATATCTGTTGTCTTCCATTCAGAATATTTCCCTCCTGGGAGTGCAAGTTTGCTCTGTTCCCTTTATTGGCATAGTAGTTGCAAGTAATGGCAATAATTAGAAAAATACCCCTCCTGAAACACCCTATTTTAAAATATCAGATTTACTGATTCTTAAGGTGTGAAAACAAACTGAAAACTGAACACAGGCAGCCTCACTGATTTCATTCTGTGGAAAATGTCAGTTATGAGGCTTTGGAAGAGGTGCGCACCTTGCACATCAGGAGTGGTCATGCTTTTTAATGACATTAGCTTTAGCAATTAAAATGGTTGTCTTCTCAGGAGTGCTAAATAGGTGATTTCTTCCAGACAGCTATTCCCAACTGTTGTTTCTAAGTCTTCACTTTCAATCAGTCATCAAGGCCTGTCAATTTGGCCTCTTAACGTTTCTGGAATCAGTTTCTAACTATCCATTCCCACTGCAATTACCTTCTCCTCTTCTCCCACCTAAGCCATTACAAGAATTTATTAAATGTTTCTACAGCCACAGATTCATCCCAGCTCTACTCCCTTCCATCTCTTGCTGCTGGAGGCCTTCTAAATCCCAGATCTGATCACCCCCTTTCCTTCCCTGAAGACTCATGTTTATAGTGCCTAAAAGACATGTTGAGACTCTTAGCATAGCTCCTACCTTCTAAAGGAGCCAACCTTAAGAGTTACTTTTTATTCACCCTCCCCTGGCTCCCTAAACCCTACTTGCCCAGACTCTTGGATATTTTATTAAGCACGCAGTACATTGTCTCCTGTCTTTGCTTAGGCTGGGTCCTCTGCCTGGAATCTGTCTTTACTTAGCCCATATTTTTGTTGTACATACATACGTACATACACACACATGCATATATCTACACATAGTATATACACATAGTTCAACTGTGGCTCTAAAGCTATAACTCTCTCTTATGGATGATCTTTAGCAGCAGTAGGATGTGATAATTTATGTTTTCAAGGACTAGTATTTACTTATTTTGCTTAGAATTAATTCTGTACTCTTTCCTTGTTCTAGAATGATGGGGGTCTTCGGCTTGTGGCTAATTCAATGGTGTGGGTTCCAGAAGGAGGGATGCTGCAGATTACCAACAGAATCTTACAGGCCAAAGCTCCAGGTGCCAGTGCCTCAGAAATCATCTACAAAATTACACAGGACCACCCCCAATTCGGTAACTCTTTTTCCCTTTGTCATGATTTCATCATTGTATTCAGCTGTTGTGGACTTACTTTTGTACAATGCCATGCAGCCAGGTTGTGATTCAATGAACTTGACAGTTTCTAATACCTCACACGTAACATTTGAAAGCAGAAATCAAAATAACTATCACTCTGTACACATGTAGTAGGTAGTATGCTAAGTGATGTAAACATCACTATGTATGAAACCTAAAATTTAAGCTTTAGAACAACTTCATTTTACAGAGGCAGTATCTTGCTAACATATAGTTTATATTAGCATGTATAGTTAACATATGTCAGTTTAATTTCAAAGCTCAGGCTCTCAAACTCTACCTTGTATCCCTCCCAGAACATCACCAGACTTCTTAATGAGGCTGTCTTTTTTTAAAAAGTTGACATAAAAGCATTTTTCAAGATCCCCATTGTTACTTCCACTTTCAGCAAGATAGTAGAGTATGATACCTGGAAAAATTTCCCATCATCACCACCTAGAAATGCAGTGTAAAAGACAAGAAATATGGAGCATTCATAGCTGACCTCCCAAGAATAGAGAGAAATCTTCAGGTGCCAGAAACAAAGAAGGAACCGAAAGCAAGTCTGAGCCTGAGCTGATGGCACAGCTTCTCTGAGAGGAGTGCTGTGTGTCTCAATGACCTAGGGGCTTGGGATTTAATGCCCTTGCAGAGATAGAAAGTTGGAATTAAGAGCCTGCATAAACCTGGACTCTGGAAAGACTGACCTTCCATGAGTGGGACAGAATCAAAAACAAGAAGCTCTCTGGCTCAGAGATGGCAAAAAATCTGCCTGGGTTTCCCAGGGCTCAAAGTAAAGCAGAAAAAGTCTGCTGAGAATTCAGAACTTCAGGCCTGTTTATCCTGCAGATCCAGGATGAAGTTATATTGGGTACATTGTCTGAGAACCCCAAAGCTGAGGTATTAATATGAAAATTCATCTCAGGTCAATGATACTTCCTGGATTCTTTGCAGAAACTAGTAGAAAGTGTTGTAGGATGTCCACCTCACCTTCAGACCACATGGGATTCTCACAGATAAAACCACAAAAGATTAGTTCAGAATTCAGAATTACAGAACATATAAGGAAATAATCTATAGCACCATAACCAAAACAAACAAGAAAATTAAAATCCCAAAAATTTCAAATAAAGGAACAATCTTATAAAACCTGTGAAATAAATCATATTTGAAATGCTTTAAAGACAGAAATGAAGGAATTAAAGCTGTAAGGAAATAATAAAATGCTATAAAAATGAAAGAACAGGTAGGTAGTTTTTTTAAGAGAACCAAATAGGTCCTCTGAAAATCAAATATTTTACTTTTTGTATTTACTTTTATTTGCTTTTTATGTTCATTACATGTAAAAACTTTCTTGGCATGGTAAATAACAGATGAATAATGATCTGTTTTTCCTCTAGGTTATCAGATTTTAAAAATTATACATTTCCTGTAGTGAGGAAAAATTATTGTTTGTACAATTTAAAAATAATTACAAGGTCCACAAAGACATTGAAAAGCGTGATCTAGTCAAGAATTGATGTAATTATACAACAGTCAGTCTACCTGGGGTGTCATTTGTTATACTATGTGACCTTAAGAAAGACAAGTAGATCCCCATGAGCCATAGGTTTCTTTGAAAGGTTAGGCCAAAAAATTTTTCTAACTTTTTGTTTTTAAGTAAGTTTAAACTTACCAAGAAGTTGTAAAAACAGTACAAAGATCTCTCTAGTACCTTTTATCTAGCTCCTCCCAATGTTGACATCTTACATAACCATAGAATAATGATCAAAACTAGGTAATTAACATGGATACAATGTTATTAATTAATCCACAGACCTTATTCAACTTTTCCATATTTTACTCACTGATTTTAAGCTAGGTAATGTTGAAAGTCCTTTTCAGCTCTAAAAATCTTTGACTCATTTGATGTATTACATTCTGTATCTTCATCTTAATCATTAACAGCCAGAAAATTAAATTTCCTAGAGACAGCCCAATGTTCAAATATTCTGTTTAATCTAAGTATTAAATAGTACAATATTGAATTAAATGATTTTTCAGCCATTTCAGTTTGATAAATTCCATGTAGTCTTGACTATGGCCCTTTCCTATTATAACTCTTAATTAACTTTTTCCTATGAACATAATCCTCTTTCTGTGTGTCCAGACGTTCCTCTTAGTACTAATCGAATCACATACCCTCAGGAGCTGTTACAAGAGTGAAAAAGGTGTTGGGAAATAGAAGCCCGCTTAATACCATCTACTTGCATCCATCTATCCCTGTGATATGAATTTGTGATCTATTACCTCATTGCCACCCCAGCAGCTATGTGTTCCCTCATCACTTTAGAATATTCTGATTGGGTTTTAGGCTTTTTATGAAGATCTGACCACAAACCCGAAGCATATGTAAACTGCTTGTGTTGTATGTGCATAAACAGCCTATGTTCTACCACCTGCAGACTCATTGCTGTTTTCAAAGATGTTAAGACAAGTTGATTAATACTGATACCTTTAGCTACCTCACAGGTTTGAAAGTAAATTTAATGAGATGGCTTTAATGAAGTAACTTGAGTATCATTTAAGGGAGAATCTGACTTAATTCAACACAGTGCCAACTCTGAATTATTTGGTATAGGGTGAGAAAGCTTGAATCCAGATTATCTCAGTTTCAAATTTTTATGGAGATTCTGTGAGATTCCAATTCTTAATACCCATTAAATTTTCCCTTCAAAATTCTTAATTAAAATACATATTTCAGTATAAGTGAAATCCCAAATAAAGATTATTTTCTGTTTTTTAAACCTGGACTGTTTCCTAAAGCTGAAATTTTCTGTGTTTAAGTGGTCATGTCCTTGCATTTGTCATACTGTCATAAAGCCGAGGTGAGGTACTACACAAAGCTCCCACCTTGCTGGGGTGAGCCCCACAAAAACACCTCTGTTTCTCTCTGCTTATGGGCTTGTCACAATGCCACCCTGTACACAGCATATGCCGCGCTGAGCTCTTCATCTTCCCTCCAACCTGCCTGTCCCATCAGGGCATCACTTTCCTGCTGTCATCCCTTGTGATGGGTGATGCTCTGATACCTTCTCCCACCTCCACAAACACATTTGTCGAGTTCGGTTGCTTCCACTTCCTTGGCGTTTCTTTCTTCCCAGTCATGCTTCTGTTGCCTTAGTTCAGGTTCCATCTCTCATCTGGATTTTGCGGTAGCCCCATAATTGGCCAAACTGTCTTCATAAATGTTAACATTTATTAACATTTTTACACAATCAATAATTTTTATACAGCCTTTTTAACAGGACTTCTAAGCCTCATAGCTGCTCTATATTCTGATCACATATGTTGTGCGTTGCTAAATCACCTACTGAAATCTCACAGGGGCTCCCAGCTGGTTGTGGGGGTTTATCTCAGGGCAGGGAACTGCATCTTGCTTATCCTCGAACCCTCACCCGAAGGGCCTACCATCGTAGCTAGCATCTAACAGGTACTCATTGACTAGTAACCATATTGAAATTCATGGAATTAGCTAATATCCTGATTCCTGTTAATCTGCATGACATAGTGATTTTTTTTTATCTGGAAAATAAGTCTATTTAATTAGGCCTTGTTAGGAAAATTCTGCTTAGCTTTTCTATTATAAAGAATAGCTAGCAAATTGGTATTTGAGTATTTCCCATCCTTCTGCTCTCCACATTTTCATTATAGAAATCTCCTTTCAGATCATTTTTGCAGCTGAATTCACATTCCTAAATGGTCTACCTCCCGGAAAAGCATATTTATCAGTAGTATCTTATGAATAGAAGTTGAAATAGGGAGAGAACCACAAGAATTTTTGACTTAGGTACAAATGAGAAACAATACAAAAAAAACTAGCATGACTTGATACTACACATGATTACATAAAGAAGAGTATTGGTGTTCTTCCCTTTATTTCATCACTATCCAGGATATTATGCTTATTTTAAACTTGAATTTAATTCATATAAATATTAGAAGGAGTATTTTCTTTGTGGAGGTAACCAAAATGTGCTTTCAGTTGCCCAATATGTCTAGCATATTAAGATTTACAGAACATTTGAAGACACAACCTCTCTCTCTCTCTCTCTCTTTCTCTCTCTCTCTCTCTCTCTCTCTCTCTCACACACACACACACACACACGCACACGCACACCATTCTTCTATTCATTGTATTATTTGAGTGGTAGAGAGGCTTCTTTCAGATTTATCGTTAGATGCATTTTCATGAGAACATGGCTTCTGTTTTCTGCCATTCATTCATTCTTCTGTTCTTAACTTGAAGGCATATTCTCCTTGTGAAACAGTAATTGTTTCTGTAACACCTCTGCATTTGCCGTCTCACTTTAAGAAACTAGTAGCTTCAGGTGAAGAATACTCAATAGGAACAGATTGGTGATGGTGTTGTCATTTACATTTAGACTTTCTTGCTTCAGTACTAATAATGTTTAAAGAATGGAGGAGGAGAAAACATGATCAGTTGTTTAGCAGTCTGTGAACACAAAATAATCATGATTGGTAAGGGTTTTATTACTAAGAATATGAGCTTCAGATCCAAATCCCAGCTCCTCCACTTAGCATTTGTGTGACCTTGAGCAATTAGTGAACTTCACTGAGCCTGAAGAACTTTGTCTTTAAAATGGAGATGATAATAGCACCTTCAGAAGAATTAGATAACAATACTAAAGATAACCAACATTCTTTTTAAGCACCTATGAAATATGTACTGTTATTGTCATTATGCAAGAGGAAAAGAGGCTTATAAAGTCTAAGTAAGCTCATGCAGCTGGACATGTGGAACTGGGTTTAAATTACCACACAAAGGGCTTTGTGCAGTGCCTGCCATATGCATTACACTGTCAACTATTATTATCTTCTTTGTACAGAACTCTCCCAAGAATAACTTTTTCTGAATTAAAAAAAAAAATCCATTTTGTTTACAACAAAAACATCCTGGTTGGAAAGCATTTTCTGTTGCATAGAAGATTATGGGTAGAAATGAATCCATTCTATACCCAGTATTTGAGTATCTGTTTGCAGTGTTCTTGATTGTTTGGGTCTCCTTATGTAATTTTAAGATAAAAAAAAAATCCATTTTGTTTACAACAAAAACATCCTGGTTGGAAAGCATTTTCTGTTGCATAGAAGATTATGGGTAGAAATGAATCCATTCTATACCCAGTATTTGAGTATCTGTTTGCAGTGTTCTTGATTGTTTGGGTCTCCTTATGTAATTTTAAGAGATGCAAGTCAGTAACTTCATATATGAATTGCCCATGAATGGCTTTTAGTTCTTTTAGCTGAAAGATTAGAATTCTGTCAAATCTCAAGGCAAATTTGATGATACCCATTGAATTCTGTATTAACATTCTTTCCTTCACCTTACATAAAAGTAAAGAAATACATCATTTCTTTTTTGTTAATTAAAAAAAAAATAGATGATGAGAGCTCTGACTTCCTTTTCCTTTTCCCAGGGGTCCTCACTAATTGTGTGGCTTTTCTAGGGGAAGTGGTCCTTCTGGCTAACATGCCTGCAGACAACCCGGCAGATGAAGGGCAGCACCTGCCTGATGGGAGGACAGCAACACCCACCAGCACCTTCACCCAGCAGGACATCAACGAAGGCGCCCTGTGGTACAGGCACTCGGGAGTGCCAGCCCAGGGTGACTCCTTCAGCTTCCAGGTGCCCTCTGCTTCCTGACTCCTCTCATGTCTGGATAGTCTGATGAAAATCAACACCTCTGTTTACAAACAACACAGATCATTTTCTGTGATTGCCTGCACGTCACATTTGAGGGAAGAAATAACATAATCAATAGCATTGGAGATTTTTGTTTTTGATCTGTTGATTCCGTTTTACAGCCTCTCTATAAGCAGAGTCATTCCACAGCAAAGATGTTTATAATAGGAAATGACTTAAGTGTTTAGAAAAAAAATGTATTTTCAAAACATTAGGACACCATATGGGAAAAAATATTCCTTTCTTTTTTCAAATGTCTTTTGAACATTTACCATCTTGTGATAAGATTGTGGACTTAGCAGCCAAACCCAGTGGGTTTGTATTTCAGTTCTGCCACATCCTAGCTATGCAACTTGGGGAAAATTACTTGGGCAAAATCCTGTGGTTTAGTTTCTTCAGCTGTAAAATAGAATTATTGTGAAGATTTAATGAGTCAATATGTGTAAAGCGTTTAGAGTACTGCCTAACACTGTGTAAGGGTTTGTTACCACTGTTTATAAAGGTTAGATAAAGGTTAGTCAAAAACCAGGGCTGCAGACTGAATGTTTGCATTCCCCTGAAGTTTTTATATTGAAATTCTACCTTTGTGTCATGTGATGGCATACAGAGATGAGGCTTTTGGTGAGTGATTAGAATTAGATGAGGTCATGAGGGCTGTGCCCTCCTGAATGGGATTAGTATACTTAAAAGAGTCACAAGACAGCTGTGCCCCCTTTCTGTCCCCTGCCATGGGGGTGCAATGAGCAGTGGGCAGGCCACAACCTGGAGAAGGGCCCTCCTCAGGACTCAACCATGCCCATGATCTCAGACTTCCAGCCTCCAGAGCTGTGAGAAATTAGTTTCGGCGGCTTATAAGCAACCCAGTCTATGGTATTTTTTTAATGGAACCCAAGGTGGGTTAGACAAACAGACCATAAGGAGGCCATCAGTAAATTAAAGAACAAGAAATTACACTGGGCACATTCCCTGGCTATTATGAAAAATAATTCAAAATTAATAATTAAAGGGTACACAAAAAATTCAAGCCGCTTGGAATTTTTTAAATAGTCTCCTAAACAATTACTAAAAGGATATCAAAATAATTCTAAAAGGAAATCAAAAGAGCAAACTATTAAGAAATATTGATGAGGAGGGAAATAACTTAACAAAACTTAAATGATATGGACAAATACTCCAAAGAAAATTGATGGCCTTAACCTCTTATTATTGAGCAGAAAAACATGAAAATAAATGTACTAAATGAAGCTAGAGAACCACAGGGGAAATCTAAGGAAAGCAAAAGGAAGGAATTAATAGGGATAATCAAAACTATAAAAAAATGCTAAAATTGATAAGTGAGTACAAAACCTCAGTCTTTGGAAAGAGCAATAAAATTAGACAAACCTCTCTGTGAAGGACAAGAAATCAAGAATTGAACAGAAATACAAAGGAATGAGGAAGCATGAATGAGAAAGCATTTAAGCATAGATACAGAAGAGAATTTGGGAAACTCCCAGAGAAAACATGCAGAAGCCCTCATGGCAATCAGCCAAAGCAGCGTCCCGGTCCCCCAGAGTCTGAGCCTTTCCCTTTGTCTAGGCGCCCAGTTGGGGATATACTGCCACGATAGCTCACCTGTTAAAATTATCATCCTCCGTGCTCTGCTGCCCAGTGTGCACATCTTTATTGCCTAATATTTATTGTGTAGAAAATGTGCTTTTCCAGAGAACAGGTTGAAATAAACTTAGAAGCCATTAAAAAGAGATTATACTGAGCACACTGAATGTCTGAAGAGTGAGCAAACAATAAATGCCCTTTGCCCAAGTTAACTTTTCATTTTTAACACCTGGGGACCTTGGCCTGAGCAGTCCTCTCAGAATGAACCAGAATGGAGGCAAAGGCCTCAATCAAAAGATGTCACCTCAGGAAACTAGAATCCTCGCATCTGTCTTTGCCTTTATAAGCATCAGGATGAAGAACATTATCCACATGGAGCATTTTTCCTGGGAAGGGGGTCTCAGCACCTACTCAAGATGATATTTTGATTGAATTTGCAAGTTGGTTACTAAGAGGGTAATTATAAATAGCAAAAGTTACTGATTTTTTTAAACAACCTCACTAGAGTTTAAGACTCCAGTTGAACATTATTACCTAGGAAGTGGTTACCTTTGAAGAGTCTTTATACATTTTCTTCAAAATGTGTTTAGAACTCCTGCTTGAAATCTACAAAATCTACAGAATATACTTTAGAATATCCTCTGTAGTGACAATATATCATCCTTTGGAAGTAGATTTTAAAATGTAGCCAAATAGCCAAAAGTCATTCATCATCAGGTCTGGTAAGAAGAGTAGTAATTATTTTTGGTTAAAACAGGGAGTAATTATGTAGTAACAAGCTCGTTTTTCTTGTATGATTTGTGAACTCTCTTGGAAGGCATTCAAAAAGTTCATTTGAAACACTGACAGCATCTTTATGGCAAGTACGAAATAACTCTTTCAGATTATGTTCTCCTGGATATAAAAGTTTTGGTATGTTTGTTTTTAAAGTCTCATTGTTTTATAGGGTTACCTCATATTTTGATTAGAAATGACACAGACACTATAGCTATATGCTAAAATAAATGGTTAGCAACTTCTTCCATTCATCATTTTAGTGTCCCTAAAGGATTTTAAACTAAAAAAGTTGCTGTTCTAATGATTCTTCTTTCTTCCCTTCTCTTTCTTCTTTAAAGCAGAAAATGCAATACAATGAGTTGCATGGACTTAATTCTATTTTATTGTTGGTGTGCTGTCATGAGCCATCAATGCATCCCATCTGTTACCTTGTGTGTGATACTTGAGATTTATGTAATGCAAGTGGCATTTAAAAATAAAGCATGGCATAGTGAGAAGAAAGCATGCACATTTATGTCATTTTGGCATGGGAAGGAGCCCTGCTTTTCATATATTCAGATCACATTGACACAGCCTCAGGGGATGTGGTTGGAAAATGACCAACACATTTCATACCGGTATCTTTACTGAGGAAGCTAGAACTGAGTCCCTTGCTTGTTAATATGCCAACATTTCACTACTGGCCCAGTGTTTTCTTCCTTTTCTTCAAGAGATAGAAGAGATTTTCCCCTTTCCTAAAGCTTCCAACTTGAGTCCTCTTGGTCAGTAGGAAGATCATGAACCCACTGACCTGGTGAAGTACTGACCCATATTGGCTTTGTGACTTTGACATCTTGCTTAACTTTTCGACCTGAAGTTTCCTCATCTATAAAAAGGAAATGATAATACCTACTTTGTGGGATGGACTAAAATAACTTTTGAAAAGTAGCTGGTATAGTGCCAAGTCCACGATAGCTGTTCAGTGAATTATAGCTTTTGTTAATTGATATTAGCAGCGACACTATAAGATATCTCCTTGAAAACATGTAGCTATTCTGAAACTTGAGCTCCAGGCATCTGGTGTGATCAAGATACAGAGAAGAGAGTTTTTCTATTGGGTGTAACTTTAAAAGACATGGAGAAAGGGCTCTTATTCCTGCTTTTTTCTCAGAATTCCTGGAAACTTGCTCTCTCTCTCTTATAGATTAATGCAACTACACATAGCCACTCAGGCCTTAGACATTCTTGGAACAAGCCTAAGGTGGAGCAGACAATAGAGAGAAGGAAACTTCAAAGGTGTCCGTCAGTAGCATTGAGGGAGCAGAGAAGCTGCATAGGAAAAGCATCATTTTTCAAGCAGGAAAAAGTTGATTTCGTTCCCATTTCCATGATTGTTAATGTATGGGTCATGCCTTGCTATGAGACTGAGATTTGTCATTGACAGTTAGGTATAGATAGATATCTGTTCTGGGTAAAGATTAGAGAAGTGGAGAGTAAAACTCACATATATAACATGTGTTCAATGTGCTCATAATGAGACATTCAATAGCTATAAAAAAATTACGGTTTTCAAGAATGTTTAATGATATAGCAAAATATAATGATATTATGTTAAGTAAAAATTTAGAATACATAATTTTATATAATTTCACATATGCATAGAAAAATATTAAACTGAAATGCACCAATATATTAATTACTACTTTTTCTAGGTAGTGAAATTCCAGACATTTTTTTATTTCTTATTTATATATTCTGCATTTTTCAGAAGTACCTAAAATGATTATATATCTTTTTTATAATCAGTAAAACAATTTATAACCTATGAAGCTCAGGATGAATATTGTAGTGCAAGAGCATATAGAATTCAGACCCAGATGCTTAAAGGGGTAAAAATAAGCACACATAGCATGCTCTGCACATCAGAGCATGAGAGGATTACTAATAAGCTGTTTCTTTTCAGGTGTCCAGGGCCACGGAGGCGCACGCCCACCTGGAGAGCCACAGGTTCAACATCGCGATCTTACCACAGATGCCTGAAGCTCCTAAACTCTCCCTGGGAGCATCTCTTCATATGACTGTGAGTTGGGCAGGAGGCTTTGTGGTGTCTGCTTGGAGGAGGCTCGCTGATGGGATTTGGTGGGGTGTCCTGGTTTTGTGTCCAAATGTCTAACTCAGAACACAGACTCTGCACCAACAATACCAGCCCCATAAATTCATTTTTCATTGACTTGAAAAAGAAACTTAAAATTCCCAGAGTGAAAGGAAACTTAGCTGGAATCCAGCACAACCTCCTGCCCATTGCTGCTGGCCTTTTTACAACATCCCAAATGGTTGCAAGGCCTCTCCTGGAGTAGCTGAAAGGAATTTCAGGTTTATGTCTATTTAATCTATACTGGTTGAGTATAATTGTTCAGGTAGTTTAACTCCACCTAGCTGGAAAAATTGTTAATTCCATGTTTTCGAAGCCCTACTAGAAGTTTCCCTCCTATTATAAGTTTCCTGGACCAGGTAACATGTATGCTGAATCCAGAGAGGTAAGTAGCAGTTATCCCAGTGAAAGTTTGGGAAGCAGGGTAGAAGGAATGGAGAGGTGGTGGTGAAAGGCACATGTAAAGACCCAGAAGTAAGAGACAATATGATTGTTGGGAAAGCTGAAAATAGTTCAGTAAGACTGGAGAAATTAGGGAGGCAGTGGAGGTCCATGGACTAGATCACAAAAGGTCTTGTATGCTGTTTGGGAAGGAGTGTGGGCACATGGAAAGGTCTGAAGCAAGGTGAAGCTAAATTAGTGCATGAAGCTTAGTTCAGACGATTAGCAACTCCACTATAGCCCTATATCTAGGGGTAAGTAATGCCAAAAACCCCTCTTCTTGACAGAGCCATGAGCATATAAGCCCTTATAAATTAATCACTATGTATTCACATTTTAGTTAGTGTCCTCATAATTATACTCCAAAGCAGTGTATCAGCTCTGAGCCACAATGAAGAAAGCAGCTATGGTTTTAGAAATTATGTGTCTGAGCCATGACAGAGACATAAAGAGGGAAACAAAGTTTTTAATGAATAGTTGGTATTGGCATTTCCACCATAAACCATAATTTAAAGAAATTGTAATTCAGCAGCACTATAAAGTCTATATTCATCATTCTGACTAGAGGAACTTGGATCAGAATTTTCTCTAAAGTGTCAAGAAAAATGTGCATATACATTTCTTGCCAAATGCTAATGCAGTGTTATTTTGAGTTTAAAGGAAAAAAATGGGCCAGGAGCCAGGAAGATGGCGCCATCCTTGCCCTGTTGCTGTGGACCTCTAGGGACTTTTCATGTTACTTAACCCTTAGGGCTTTAGGTTGCATGTTTGTAAATCAGGTCTGTCCTGTGTAACTTAGGATATCACAAAGTTGGTTTACCATAAAATGTGATTATCCCACTCCTTTTTCTCTTCAAAATATACACAGTTTATATTTCTTTTGATGTTAATTAAGGCCATCACTGTAGGAATACTTGTAATCTGTGACAAGAACACACCCTCAGTTCATTGATTTGGACTCAATCTAAGCATAGACAAATTTTATATATATTTGATAAATACAGTATGTAAACATATGTTAAACACATACATAGCATATTCATATATGTATATGTCTACCTCTTCAATCATTCAGTCATCAAATAAACACTTTGGAGTTCCCAGTTTATCCCAAGTACTGTGGAAGACATTGGAGATTCCATGACCATAAAACACAGACTCTATTCTCAAGGAACTTTGAGGATAAAACAAGGAAATAAATAAACAATGACAATACAGTGGTAAATGCAATGACAGAGCCATGATATGAAAGCAGATGGGAAGGTACCTAGTCCAGGAGGGTGTGTGGGAGGTCATGGATGGCTCCCTCTAGGAGGTGAACTGAGCTAGGTAAAGTGTAAATTATCTCTAGAGCAGGGTCTCCAACCTCAGCCTGAACTGGGATCACCTGCACAGTTTATTAAACCACAGATTGCAGGAGCTCACTTCAGAATTTTCTGCTTCAGTAGGTCTGGTGTCGGGCTGAGACTCTGCATTTCCAACAAGTTCCCAGGTGATCACACCACTTCTGCTATGCTCACCACACTTGAAAAACTGCTGATCTAGACTAGAAATAGAGGGAAATTCATTTCGGGCAGATGAGCAGCAGGTGAGAAAAGGTGGAGACACAGGAGAACATGACATGTTTGAGGAATTAGAGTTCTGTTAGCTGGACATAACTTCCTAGGTGAAGAAGAAGCAAGAAATGAGAGTCAGATCATGGAAGAGCATAAAGAAAGGAAGAAAGTTTCCATTTTGTCCTTGAAAGGTTGTTGGGGCAAGTAGGATGTTGAAGGATTCATAGCAAAGAAGTGACATGAGCAGATTTTCAATTTAGGAAGATCATTCTGGCTACAGGGCAGAGAATACCCCAGACAGGAGCAAGATAGGGACCAAGGAGGCCCAGATACAGGCTATTGCAGTCATCTAGAACAAGGACGTCTAGGGGCATGAACTCCATGCAGTGGCAATAAAGATTAAGAGTTAGTGAGCTCTCTTAGAGGTGTTTGCACACCCATGTTCACTGCAGCATTATTTGCAATGGCCAGGAGGTGAAAACAGTCTAAATGTCTTTGGACAGATCAATGGATAAAGTAAATATGGTGTATATGTAACAATGCAATATTATTCAACCTTTAAAAAGAAGGAAATCTTGTTATATGCTACAATATAGATGTATCTTAAGGACATTATTCTGAATGAAATAAGTCAGTTAGAAAAAGACAAATACTGTGTGAGCCTAATTCTCTGCCCTATCTATAGTAATTATGCAAAAAGTAGAATAGTGGTTGGCCCTGCAGGGTGGGGGTCGAAGTTGAGAGAGGGAAAAAGGGAGTTGTTTTGTTAATGGATATAGCATTTCAGTTTTGCAACATGAAAAAGTTCTAGAAATACATTTCACAACAATGTGCATAGAGTTAACAATACTGTATTGTGCACTTAAAAGTGGTTAAGGTGGTAAAAAAAATTGTGGAGACATTAATAGATATTTAGAGACATAGTGGTCAATTACATGTGGGAGGAGGGTGAAACCCCAGTTTATGAATATATAGAGATGTTGTTCATTAATATCAGGAATATATGGAGACTTTAGGGGGAGGTGGAGGGGAGGAAGACATAATGGGTTCAGTTTAGGATATGCTTACAAAGTGTGTGTCTATTAAGTGCTAGTGAAAGATCAGTAAATAGTAGGTGAGTAGGTGAGAGATAAACTTTAGAGAATCATTAATGGCAGGTTGAAGTTGAATCCTCAGGCATAACCAAGATTCCCCAGATTACATAGAGTGAAAAGCAACATAATCAAATACCTGTCTAAATGGAAATTTGTTCTATAGCTTTCTTGTAATTATATTATCAAATCTAAGATCCTCTATATGGGATCTTATGGTTTTATTTCTACTGCTTATCAGAACTATATGCTTATATGCATATATAAGATTTTTACATATGTTTAATATAAGATATATACACATACATATGCACATGTGAGATGTATACATTTAGGATATATATCAAATTTTAGCAATGAGATATGAAAACATACACATTTACCAATAATCATAACATATGTAGTGTAAGATTCTTCAAATAAGTTAATGGATTCACATCACCTCATAGTTTTCCAAGTAATCATCTACTATTTGACTTGAAGATCCTTAAGGGCAAAATCTGTGATTAATAAATCTTGGTATCTTCTTCAACATTTAGCAAAATGCCTTCTATAAAGTAGTTGCTTAGTAAATATTTGTTGACTATGAATATTTTCATACCCACTTTCACATAGCTAGTAATTCCCTAAATTGTATCATTCAGTTCAAATAAATTAATCATATGGGTACATACACACACACACACACATAAACTTTGAATTTCATCTTTCCAATTCTTCTCTTAAAGGAGAAATAAATTATATTTTCTCTTACTGTGAAAGAATATTTTTTATTTCCTTTTTCAAATAGTTGCAGCACTCAGGGTTGGATTGCCTGGAATGAGCCTTTCTTTCCTGGATTCATTTGTTTCCAGAGTGATTGCTGTAGCAAGAGTTCTCTTAAAACCGCTCTTACTGAGGAGAGCAAGGACCCAGTTAGAACAGCTGATGCCTTTTGTGATATAGACGCAGTTCTGGGCATGCTGTATTTATTTTATGGCCGTGGGATCATGTGCCCATGTATTTTCTTGAGACCTTTCAGACACTAATAGAATTATTATCTGCAATCTCTGAAAAGGTTTCTTTATCCTTGGAATTCCTACTGTGCTTTTTCTGAGCCTTCCACACTACTTGGCATTTTCTATATTAGCTATTTGTGAATTTCCCCTACTAAAACCTGGAATTCTGTGGGAAAACGGTCTATATCTGATTCATCTTGCATCCCCCACAACTCTTTGCTTGGTACCTTGTACATGGTAGGTTCTTACTAAATATTTGCCACATAAATTTTGAATTAATTAATTTTGCTGTTTTAACTAAACTGTGAGAATAGGATTTCTTATAGGACCTCCGTTTTACTTATCTTCTCATTATTTATGGACGTATATTTCTCATGGGCTTTGCTGCTGTGGTAGAATGACCTGTGAAACTGGTCTTTCTTTTAATGGAGGGTGAAATGATGATGTTTATAAATCCTGGAACTGAAGTTTAATGGTTTAGGTCACATACAAATTTCTAAAGCTTAAGGTGTTAAAATGTTTGCTTCTAATTCTTTAGATGTCATTGAAATACAATGGAAAATGTTCTTTAAAAATCACTGGTGAAGTTGTTATAAGAAGTATTGTTATTACTTTATTTCTTAGCTTAATCTTTTCATAATGATATTTTTCATTCACCCAACACATTTTTATCGAGTACTTCCCTGTGCCATGTTCTAGGTGCTTGGGTCCACCCATGAACAAACAAAAATCTAGGTTCTCTTTGAGGTTACATTCTCTTGGGGGGAAATATGCATTAAGTAATAAACAAAATAAATAACTCACAGACAGCATGTTAGTGAGAAGTGTTACAGTACACAAAAAGAAGATCAGGGCCAGGGATGAGAAATGGAGTGGCAGGGCATGAGAGGCCTAGGACGTCATTTTTAAAAATGTGCATTTTTTTAAGATAATGACATTTAAAGGAAGAGTTGCAGGAAGTGAGGGAGATAACCATGCAGGTACCCGAGGAAAGAGCATTCCAGTCCCACGGAAGCATGTATATAGAGGTATTGAGCTGGAAGTGTGCTTAGATATTCAAGGCACAGTGAGGAAGCCAGGATGGCTGGAGCAGAGTGAGGGAAGAGTGACTGACATGAACTGGGCTAAGTGTGTTGGGGGTGAGTGGGACTGATCCTGTCAGGCCTCTGAGTAAAATGGAGAACCATTGTGGGGTGCTGAGCAGAGACCTAATACCCTTTGTAAAGGGATTGCACTGGCTGCTGTGCTAAAGTACAGTATAGATGAGGCGGAAGAGAGTTGGGAGGCTGTCAAGGTAATCCAGGTGAGAAACTGTGGCTCCCCACAGGGAGGTGGCCGCGGCAGTGGGGAGAAGCGGTAGGATTATGGATATATTCAGAGGTAATATGGGTGTTATGAAAACCATTATTCTGTGATCTTCTTTCGTTGACAGATACTTTAATAAAAGTGTCTTTTGTAATGATTTCTCTGAAATTTAATCTCTCATTTCTTACTATGTTTAATTGATAAATATTGAACATTCCAAATAGCCAATATTAAAATTGATTATACTTTCTTATGTCTCAACCTCAAGATTGCTTTCTTCAGGGAATCAAATCTTACTTTTTCTACCTCGTGTCTATTTCTATTACTAGAGAAATAATATCAATAAATTCCATAATACAATATCTGTTATCTTGGCTAGAGCATATTTCCCTTTTCCATAGTCCTAGGTCCATGATAATTCTCTTTTTATAGCTTTATTGTTTTAGGACATCTAGATTTTTTTAAATATTCCATAATACTCTGGGAGTTTTCAGTTATTCTGATGGTTTGGAGATTAAAAGGTTGCAAACAGTACTGAACCATCTACTGAGCCTGCACATTTTGGTCTGTCAATCTGTGTACACATTTATAGGTGTGTGCATGCATGCATGGGCCATGAGCACCTTATACAGGGCATGTATTTTTAATTGGTTGTCCTTAATTGTTTAATTTGAGGGTGAAAGACCAGGTGCTATTTGCAGTTCTTATTTGCCTTGCCCACTGCATTCCAGACCTGAGCAATGGCCTGAAATAGGACTCTTTACTGTAGGGCGGCTGTCCGGACCTGCTGGGGCTGCCTCTCCCCACAACAAGCATGCCTCGAGGACAATCACAAAGCACTGCAACCTCCAATCTTTTCATGGTTGAAAGGTGGAACACCACACCCTCCTCCATGAAAATTACTGAGCCCTACTTAATCCTTTCCTAAACAGGGAAATGCCTTCTGAAAAAAGCAGAGCTTCAAAAGCAGAACATGTTAAACTCTAAGGCTTCAAAGGTCAGTTAGGGAGAGCTTGCAATGAGCCGGATATTTTTGTTCTGTTTTATGAACAACATATGTGACCCAGGCAAGAGGTCCATGCCATACTAGTTTTCCTTTTTCTTCTCTCCACGGTGTGTTTTTGCTGTCCCCTACTCACTATTATACTTGGTCCTAAGGTTCTAAAGCTCACTCTTTTTTTTTTGAGTGTTGTCACTGTTAGTGGATTATGGATGGACATGGTGAATGGATAGTAGAAGCTATATATACATGGGCTTTCCGATTATTTTTGCTTGACTCATTCATTGACTACTGATAGCTACAAGAGAAAAGCAATATCTAATTCTTTTGAATAGTACAATAGAGGCGAAGAGGAATACTGACTACTTTAATTAACAAATACTTCTTAAACCTTTGAATTCAAATAATGAGTCTCCTCTGATGTTTGAGAAGAGTTCATCTTTAGCCTTTTGAAACTCTCACCATTTCAAAAAAATGAGAAAGCATCTCATTTCCACTAGCAAAGCCAGGTGGTTAGGGAGAGTTTCTTACCAGTTACAACCTTAGCCCATTAAATTAGAGGAGCAGAGATACAAGTGGCCCTGCTGTGAATTGTACAAAAGCCAGCTGTGATAGCTCATTTTCAAATGCATACTACTGTGAATTCCATCAAAGGAAAAGTGGTCATATTGGGGCTCCCACAGCATGCACCAACATAAACCTGGGAGCAGAGAGCAGGGGAGAGAGGAGTCAGGGTGCAATAAGGCCAGAAGAGGACTCTATAACCCTGAGAGGTTCCCAAGGCTGGGACAAGTCTGCAATGCAAGAGACCAGATCCTTCTTTTGAACACTTCTTTTGAACTCTCAGGGAGAATTTTGCTATGTGCAATTAATTTAAAAGCCCAAAGTGAGTTTGTTTCTATTTCCTTAGTAAGGTTTGTTTTTGCCTCTGGCTTTTGTTTTCATCACACCATTTTTATATCTTCTTCCTCCTTAAACTTTGCCTAGGCTCGGGAAGATGGTTTGACTGTGATTCAGCCCCATTCTCTCTCCTTTGTAAACTCTGAGAGGCCAAGTGGAAAGATTATATACAACATCACTCTACCTCTGCATCCAAATCAAGGTAAGATGTGCAGAAAAAGATCTTTTGAGGGTGCTCTTGTCTTCTAGTTGTTGACAGTCTCAACAGCTCTGGAATTTTGTCCGCTTATACAGTTGACCCTTGAACAGCATGAGGGTTGGGGCACCAACCCCCCATGCAGTTCAAAAATTCATGTATAACTTGTGACTCCCCCTAAACCTAACTTCTAATAGCCTACTGTTGACCAGAAGCCATACCAGTAACACAGTCAATTAACACATAGTTTATATTATGTACTGTATTCTTATAATAAGTAAGTTGGAGAAAAGAAATATTTTTTCCAAATTGGTGCAAATCTCCAAAAAATTTTCCAACATACTTATTGAAAAAGTCTGTGTATAAGTGGACAGATGCATTTCAAACCCATGTTGTTCGAGAGTCAGCTGTACTTATTGAGTATTTAAGGGGTAACAGTTATCATACCCTTTGTTACACTATTGTGAGTTTAGAACCAATCGAGAAAGAGACCCAGTGGTCAGACAGAGGGAGGTGACTTGTCAGGTTTGGTAGTGTAGTGACAGAGCTGTACTTGGAGCATAGGGGGCATATAACTTCAGTCCCTGGACTGAGCGCTCCCTCCCATGCACAGATGCACAGGCACTGTCTGGAGGGGTGGCGCCTGCCCTGGTCCTCCACCAGGGATATGAGGATATGAGAGACGAGCTTATGCTAAGGACAAGCTCTGCCAGAGAGCCCAGAGGGGCTGAGCCACACATACTCAGCTCCTTTCCCAACTAGTTAAGCTGCTCCTCCTCCGTAGAGGAACATGGAAAAGCAGAGCTACAATCAGAGAAGTGGACCCCTGCCATCAGTCCCCAGCCTTTAGATCCTAACTTTGGGCTTAACTAATAAGTCTATGCCCAGCAGGGGGGTGACTGCCCCTCACAGAGAGGAATCTACTAAGCCAGTTCTGCTCCTGAACTTGAGCCTGCTCTCCCAAGACCAACCACTACCCTAGATGTAAGCCTTTCACATTATCAAATCTCCTAGTAGGAGAAGTACAGGTCTAAAAATTAAATGTCATTACCCTTTTGATAAAGTACAAAGAAATTAAACATCCAAAAGTCAGCCTTCCTATTTTTCACTCTGCCAAGTCATAGTTACAGCTGTTCCCCCGTTCATTGCCAGAGCAGATTATGTTTTTACAGACAGCAGCCTGGGCTGTTTTCTGCAGAATGGCTCTAGGTCTCTCAGCCCCTCGAACTTGAATTAGTTCAACACTAAACCTTACATGTACCCTTTAAAGAGTTAATGGGACATGAAAGATGAGCACACTATCAGTTCTGTATACCTGCAAAATTTAGAAATGACAAGCAGATTTGTAGCTCCTAAAGCATTTTTCATAAGCAGAGTGATAATTGCAAATCCAGTTCTTAGAGTAATCAAGATCTATGTTACTGTTGCCAAAGGTCATCACAGAGACTAAGGAGTTCCTGAAAGAAAGGGATAAATTGAGAAAAATCTCTTTATTGCCTCGCCAGGAGACCAGTCTTACCATTTTCTCTGTTGTTGACCTTGACCTTTTAACTTAAACTCAGTTGCAGAAATCTCATAATCATGGCGCAGTATGTATGACTTCTGGAGATTTCCCTGGTGTCAGCTACATTAGGGGCAGTAGTTTGTATCTTACTATTGTTGACAGTCAATGAATTGCAGTTAGGAGTCTATTTTGGTTTCTGATTTGCCCTTTTCTTGAATAAGTGGAGAATGGCATACCAAGGGCAACCTGAGAGCCATTATTCCTGAAGGATAAAGGACTCCCACCAGTGGGAAAGGCAGCTTTGTGGTTCTAGTCATTTAATCAGCCATCAGAACTACTATCAATGCTCATGCTGAGTCTCTTCCTCCCCAGGGATTATTGAACACAGGGACCAACCTCACTCTGCCATCCGGTATTTCACACAGGAAGATATTAACCAGGGCAAAATCATGTACCGTCCTCCCGCTGCGGCTCCCCACTTGCAGGAGATCATGGCCTTCTCCTTCGCTGGTAATGCTTTCCTCTCTGTTTGGAGGCATCTGAACTGTTCCCTGTGGATCTTCATGGCAGGCTGCCCCTAACTCCTCCTATAGTTGCTCTGGACACATTGGTGACACTGCTTTATAGCTGTTCAAAATGGCTTGAGGCTTGTGGGCCAGTATGCAGTTTGGCCTCAGTTCATCATTTGTTTTCATTGATTCACGCCCACAGGTATACTTTCAGCACCTCTTTATTTTGTGTCTCCTATGTGCCAATCACTGAGTGAGTCTTGGAGATACAGCCGTGAACAAAAAGAGACAGGAATCCCATTCTTGGCCAGTTTGGGGATCGAGGTTTAGAGATAGAATTTGATAAATAATCCCAATAATGAATGTTTAGTTACAGACTGAGATGAGAGCTCAGAAAAGAAAGGAGGCTATTCAGTGGTGGAATTAGGAGACAGCAGACTAACCTAGACTGTGGGTTCTGTGGGGCATCCACAGTAGCAGGGTGGGTAGAAGCTCACCAGGCTAAGTGTGGATGTTGGCATAGTTGGGAGAGCATCACTGAAGGGAGGGCACACACCCCATGCGCCAAGGCCCCAGGGAGGGAGAGAATGGGAGGGTATTCTGGGGATGGACAGAAGGTCAGTGTGTCTGGAATGTGGAAGGTTGAGCGGAGCTGGGATGAGCCTGGAGGAAGAGACAGAGGCCAGACCTTCGAGGCCCTGTGAGCCTGTAAGGATATGGATCTTTACCCCAAAAGCGTTTGGAACCTGGTGGATGTTTTAAAGTCTAGGGGTTGGCTTTTCTTAACTCTCTCACTTCAGTGATCTGAATGGATTTTGGGAGGGTGCCAGGGTGAATGTGGGTTAGGGGGACCCAGTGAGGAGAGTCCTGCAGTACATCAGGGAAGGTCCATGCAGAAATGGAGGATGCAGGTGACCTTCTGGGGTTAGGACCAGGATTTGACGCAAGTCACCTTTTTAAAGAAAGAGAAGACTGAGGCAAAAGAGTAACTGCATTTCTCATGCAGGCCAGTGTGTGCCCTTCCACTGAGATGCGGTAGCCTGCCCCATCTCTCCCCAGAACCCAGAACCGAAGCTGCTGACTGCAGAGCAGGACTTCTGGGTCCCTACCCCTCAGTATTTCTACACCTTGGAGTGATTCCAAAAATCTTGAAGCCTATTTCTTCATGACCTTTAAGACATATATATCATATAACATGATTAATAGAGAGTACTATTTTCATACAGTTGCTTTATTTATACAGAACAGTTGGTGATTTCTTATGGTGAGTTGAACATGGGTTTGCTAGTTTGAGTTATATTTTAAATTATAGCCAACATTTAAAGTAATATTTGCTACTATTTTTATAAATGCAATTGTTCAGAAAATGATTAATTCCTCATTTAGACTGAAAACTTCTAAGGGCAGGGGCAGGCCCCCTCTGAGGAGTATCCCTAGTGTTTAGTAACTGGGGAACTAATAGCCCATGAAAATGTTCATGGTTCTCTAACCCCTACTTTTTAAGACCTACTTTACAAGAAACTCAGGATGTCTTGGGATTAGAGGAAAAAAAACATGTCAGCCATGGTTGAAGTTATTTTCGTATCCATTATACTCGCCTGAGTTCTTAGAACCTTTTCAGAGAGAGCAGAGCCCTGTCCTGTATAATCTTTGGGATAAATGCCACAAGATAAATCTCTCACACTGTTACAATGTGTAAATCAATGTCCCAGGCATCACTCAGTTCTGCAATGGAATTGACCCACCAGAGAGCCTTGTCAGTGATATATGACATCAGCCACATTCTCCAATTTGTAGGAGTTTATGTACTGGTAAAATGGGATCTGAATGAATGTTTATAAATCAGTCTAATTGCTGTGTTATAAAATAATTCCACTAAGTCATTCTTTTTGTTACTTAAAATTAGTGCTGGCACCATTAAATTCAGTGTAACATTAGCAAATTACCTGGTGATCTTTCCTTAAACCATAACAATTTAGATTAAAGCGTCTTTTATTTTTTAACCTCTGCCTCTTATGTCATGCTTTCCCCATCTGTTTTTGACCCCCAAATGTTTAGTCTGCTGATTCTCTGTTTTCTGTTTTTTCAGGACTCCCAGAATTGGTGAAATTCCACTTCACAGGTGAACATTTTAATCTTAGTTTTATTGGGAAACTGAGTTTGTCTTTCCTTATTAGTCCTTTCTTTTTAACTCCCTTCATCACTACTTTTCACTATTTTCTAAGAACCACTTAAAAGTTTTGTAAGACAAGTTTCTTCTAAAAAATAATCACATGGCTAGTTAAATAGTAATAGCTTAACTTCATGTTCCTAGGAAAAATAGTCCACCAAAGATAACAAAGATGAGTGTTGTTTAAGCCCCACAAAGATAACAAAGATGAGTGTTGTTTAAGCCCCATTTCAACTTGTCCTAATATCTTTTTTTAAAAAAAGGGTAATAATGCTTAAGATCTTAGCCTCTGGATTTGGATACCTGTGGGTCAGCCTGCTCTGGGAAAGTTGCTTTGCCTCTCTGTGCCTGAATGCCTCCTCCATCAATGAGGATAATAAATAATAATTACTATATATGTAAAGCTCCCATAACAATGACTGGCACATAATCATCCTCATGTGACACTTAGCTAATGAAGAGGTTGTGTATCGTCTTGAATAAAGCCTTTCACTGAATGACTTGCTGCTGGAGGGAAGGTGTTATGACCCTGAGAGTGAGTCGTGAAAGCTGTGTGTAGAGTCTTAAATGCCCTAGTTTTAGTTCGCAGTGCAGTAGAAGCTGTGTGCCAGTAAGTAAAAGCAGAGTCAGACCTGGCAACCATGTGGAGCACCACAGGGACAAGCTTTCTTATTGAGGTGTAGTGTGAGAATGGTTGACTATAAATGGCATCCTCAAATAGATCTGTGGTTGGGGTTGACTATTCCATTAGAATCAGCCATCCATACATCCTGTTATATTTCCTGTAGGGATAAATCTTGACAGGAAAGTCACCTCCCTCAAATTCCCAGGCCTTCCTTTCTTCGAGGGTTAAAAAGTTACACTGGAATCAACAGTAAATTTTAGTACTGTGTCATTTTTTTTTGGTAATTGAGATACAATTGACATATAAAATTGTATTGGTTTTGAGTATGTAACATGGTGATTCAATATTTGTGTATATTTAACATCTGTCATCATATGTTGTTATGATTTTTTTCTTGTGATGAGAACTTTTAAGATTTACTCTTAGTAATTTTCAAATATGCAATATGGTGTATAGTCACCATTATATCCCATGACTATTATTTTATAACTGGAAGTTTGTACCTTTTGAACACCTCTACCCATTTCACCCATGCCCAACAACCACCTCCAGCAACTACCAATCTGTTCTAATCATCTTTGAGCTCAGTTTTTTTTTCATTTTGTTTTTGCTCCATTTTTTAGATTCCACATATAAGTGAGGGCACACAGTATTTGTCTTTCTCTAACTCATTTCACTTAGTCTAATGCCCTCAAGGTCCATCATATTATCATAAATGCAAAATTTTCTTCTTTTAATGACTGAATAGTATTCCATTCCACAGTTTATATATATATATGATGTTTTTCTTGATCCGGTCATCCACTGATGGACACTTAGGTTGCTTCCATGTCTTGGCTATTATTAATAATGCTGCAGTGAACATGGGGTGCATATATCTTTTCAAGTTAGTGTTTTCATCTTCTTTGGTTAAATTTCTAGAAGTGAAATTGCTGGATCATATGGTAGCTTTACTTTTAATCCTTTGAGGATACTTTGTACTGTTTTCTGTAGTGACTGCACCAACAATTTACATTCCCATCAACAACACATGAGGGTTCCCTTTTCTCAACATTCCCACCAACGCTTTGTAGTTATTTTCTTTTTGATAGTAGCCATTCTAACAGGTGCAGTGTGATATCTCACTCCCTGATTTGCATTTCCTTGATGGTTAGTGATGTCGATCACCTTTTCATGTGTCTGTTGGCCATCTGTATGTCTTCTTTGCAAAAATGTCTCTGCCCGATTAATTAGATTGGTTTTTTTGCAGTTGAGTTGTATGAATTCTTTATATATTTTGGGTTTTAACCCCTTATCAAACATGTGATTTTCAAATATCTTCTCCCATTCAGTAGGTTGCCTTTTATTTTGTTGATGGATTCCATTGCTGTGCGGAAGCTTTTTACTTTGATGTAGTTCCACTTGTTTATTTTTACTTTTGTTGCTCTTGCCTTGGTTTCAAATCCAAAAAACATCACCAAGGTCTGATTTCAAGGAGCTTACCACCTATAGTGTCTTCTAGGAGTTTTATAGTTTCAAGTCTTACATTCAAGTCTTTAATCCATTTTGAGTTTATATTTGTGTATGGTATAAGACAGTGATCCAGTTTCAGTCTTTTGCATGTAGCTGTGCTGTTTTCCCAACTCCATTCAGTGAAGAGACTTGTCTCTTCTCTATTCTCTTGCCTCCTTTCTTGTTTATTAATTGATCATATAAGCATGGGTTTATTTCTGAGCTCTCTATTCTGTTCCATTGATCTATGTCTCTATTTTTATTCCAGTACTATACTGCTTTTGATTACTATAGCTTGTAATATAGATTGAAGTCAGGGAGCATGATGCTTCCAGGTTTGCTTTTCTTTCTCAAGGTTATTTTGGCTATCTGGGGTCTTTTGTAGTTCCATATAAATTTTAGAATTGTTTCTCCTATTTGGTGAAAAATACCATTAGTATTTTGATGGGATTGAATAGAATTTATAGATTGCTTTGGGAAGTATGGACATTTTACCAAAATTAATTCTCCCAATCCATGAGCATGTAACATCTTTCCCTTTATTTGTGCCCTCTTCAACTTATTTCATCAAAGTCTTAGAGTTTTCAATGTACAGGTCTTTCAACCTCCTTGGTTAAATTTATTCCTAGCTATTTTGTTCTTTCTGATGTAATTGTAAATAGGATTATTTTCTTTCTCTTTCTGATAGTTTGTCATTAGTATATAGAAACAACAGATTTTTATATATTGATTTTATATCCTACAACTTTACTGAATTCATTTATTAGTTCTAACAGTTTTTTGGCATATTTAGTTTTTTTTCTACATATAGTATCATGTCATCTGTAAATAGTGACAGTTTAACTTCTTCCTTTCCAATTTGGATGCCTTTTGTTTCTTTTTCTAGTGTTTTGTCCTTGTTGATATGAACCCAGTATCAGCTTATTTCTTGTAGCAGTCTTCTAGATAATTCATACCATGAGTAATAATATACAATAGATTATAGCATTTTACATTTTACAAAACATTTTACAATACAAGTTATCTTATTTAATCCTTCTAAGCACAAGGATTATTTTCAGCATTTTAAAGCTGAGGAAACTAAGGATCATTAGAGTAAGTAATCTGCCCAGGTTTCCACTCCTAGTAAACAGTAGAAGCAGAATTTCAATACAAGTTTCTGATTCTGAGTATGGGGTATTTAGTTTAGTCTAGCCTGCTGTGGGTTGGCTATGAAAAACAAGTAGCATAGGAGGGTGAAGTTTGGTTTCCAAGCCCCAGATTTACCTGAAAGCTTGAATAGGTGAAGAGGTTAACTGTTAACTTCTCCAGGGCTTTAAGTTAGATGATCCTCGAACCTATTATACAGGATAAAGGAAATAGATCTTGGGCTGACTTTAAATTAGTTTGTCTTATTTCTGCCTGAGGTTCCTTTTTTATAAACTGTTGAGTGATTTTTTAAAAATGTATTTTAAAGACTTAATTTTTTTTTAGCAGTTTTAGGTTTACAAAAAAATGGAGAAGAAGGTACAGTTTTCCCATATACCACCTACCCTCTTACATGCATTGCATAGCCTCTCCAGTTACCAACATCACTCACCAGAATGATAAAATTTTCACTAAGGATGAACGTACATCGACACGTAATCACTCAAAGCCCATAGTTTACTTTGGGTTCTCGGTGTGCATTCCAGCGCTTGGACCAATGTATAATGACATTTATCCATCATTGTAATATCATACAGAGTATTTCACAGCCCTGAAAATCTTCTGTTCATCTCCCTCACCCCACCTCATACCTTTGGCAAACACTATTCTTTTTTATTGTCTTTCATAGTTTTCCCTTTTCCAGAATGTTATGTAGGTAAAATTGTACAATATACCTTTTTGGATTGGCTTATTTTACTTAGTAATGTGCATTTAAGGATCTTCTGTGTCTTTTCACAGCTTAATATATCATTTCTTTTTAGTGCTGAATAATACTTCATTGTTGAGATGTACCACAGTTTACTTAGCCATACTGATTACAGGCATAAGTCCTTAGCTTACTGAAGGACACCTTGGTTGCTTCCAAGTTTTGGCAATTATAAAGCTGCTATGAACATCTGTGTGCAGAATTTTCTGTGGACCTAAGTTTTCAACTCCTTTGGATAAATACCAAGGAGTACAATTGCTATTTCAGATAGTAAGAGTATGTTTAGTTTTTTAACAGCCAAATTGTCTTCCAAAGGAGCTGTACCATTTTGCATTCCCATTAGCAATATATGAGAGTTCATTTTGCTCCATATCCTTATCAGCATTTCATTCTGCCAGTGTCCCAGATTTTGACCATTCTGATTGGTGCATAGTGGTGTCTTACTGTTGTTTTAATTTGCATTTCCTTGCTGACACATGATGAAGAACATCTTTTCATATGCTTATTTGTCCTCTGTGTATCTTCTTTTTTGAGGTGTCTATTAAGGTCTTCAGCCCATTTTTTAATCAGGCTGTTTGTTTTCTTTTTGTTGGGTTTTAAAAGTTCTTTGTACATTTTTGGATAAGAGCCCTTTATCAGATGTGTCTTCTGTGAACATTTTCTCTCAGTTTGTGGCTTGTCTTATTCTCTTGACATTGTCTTTCGTAGAGCAGTTTTAAATTTTCATGAAGTCCAGCTTATCAGTTATTTCTTCCATGAATTGTGTCTTTGGTGTTTTATCTAAAAAGGCCTCAGCATAGCCAAGGTCATCTAGGTTTTCTCCTGTGTTATTCTCTAGGAGTTTTATAGTTTTGCATTTTATATTTAAGTCTATGATCCATTTTGAGTTAATTGTTCTGAGGGTGCAAGAGTGTCCTTTTTTAAGGAGGGAAACTTTTGGAATCTGACTGGAAGGAAGCCATCTCCTTTAGGAGAGTTTTGTTAGAAAGAACTTTAAATAGGGCACATAATGAACTAAGGCAGCAACAAGCCCAGCCCTGACATTACCTCACAGAAAGAGGGAGAACAGCTCACTTGATTAATCAGCTGAGATGAAAAGTAAAGTTGATATTCCTGACATGGCTGGTTCAAGACAAGTGCAGACACTGTACAGAACCATCCTGAGCAAGGAAGACACCCAAGGAGAATGGTGCCTGCAGGAGGGAGCTGACCCCAAGAAACAGTGTGTTTCTCAGAGAAATCAGAAATGTTTCATAGAGGGCTAGACATGTAATTACAGACATTTTGATGATAAGTTCTGATATTTACTTGCAAAACCCTATGCCCCCTTTATCTTTTCTAGTTTTCTAACATGTATCAGAACATAGCTTTCTTCCATCTACTTTCAGAGGCAAAGCTGTACCTTGGTCACACTGACAGCTATATGATTTGACCAAGGCTTTTTAAATTTTAGGGCCTTTCCTTTCCTCCTCTGTTAAGTAAAGATGTTGAAGTCTCCCTGAGGTTCCCCAACCCCCACTTACAAACAAAATCAATATAAAATACAAAAAATAAAGTAAAATTCTATTTTGCAATTATTATTTTTATCTAATATAGGGGTTCTTTTTTTTATTAAGGTATCATTTATATACACTCTTTTGAAGGTTTCACATGAGCAACATTGTGGTTACTACATTCACCCATATTATCAAGTCCTCCCCACACACCCCATTGCAGTCACTGTCCATCAGCGTAGGAAGATGCTATAGAGTCACAACTTGTCTTCTCTGTGCTATACTGTCTTCCTCCTCTACATTATGTGTGCTAATCAAAATGCCCCTTAATCCCCTTATCCCTCCCTTCTCACCCATCCTCCACAACCCCTTTCCCTTTGGTAACCATTACTCCATTCTTGGGTTCTGTGAGTCTGCTGCTGTTTTGTTCCTTCAGTTTTGCTTTGTTGTTAGACTCCACAGATGAGTGAAATCATTTGGTACTTGTCTTTCTCCACCTGGCTTATTTCACTGAGCATAATACCCTCTAGCTCCATCCGTGTTGTTGCAAATGGTAGGATTTGTTTTCTTCTTATGGCTGAATAATATTCCATTGTGTATATGTAACTTTGATTCCAGGCACCTCAGAGAATCCTGCGTCCACTGGAATTTATGGGAAAGTTTCAGCATTTGTCCTCAAATTCCCAAAAGTTAAGAATCATCTGTCTCTATCTTTGATGATCCAGAGAGGAGAAGACTGAGCATAAACAAAGAAGCAGTAGCAATGATTTTGACATTTGACTGAATGACCAGACCATAAAACATTTATTCTCACAGGGATAATGTCTTCTTTCCTTCAGCAGGGCTATTTCTGGACTTCTCTAGGACACAAAATGCACCCTATAAAATCCAGCCTTTTCTTTTATACCTTTTTTCAAGGAAAAGATAAATTTAAAACCTGAGTGGAATCATTACTAAGAGTCAATGAGAAATGCTTTACATTGCTTAAAAAGAGGCCAGATTCCTACTGACTTGTTACTAAGTCCAGAAGAAAGTGAAAAAAGAAACCAGAAGTCTCTTATGACTAACTGTATGAAAATATATCAGACATTTAAGATAATCAACAGTACAGTTTTCTCAATGTGCAGATAAATACATTGATGGGTGCATGATACAGATATCATTCCAAACCTGGTTTTTAGAGCATGGAGGGTGTGTTGAGGTACAGGAAAGTGAAAGTAAGAGTCAAGGGCCAGGCAACTCTCTTTTTCTGTCCCTGAGGAGATCAGTGTTCACTTAGATGTCAGATAATCCAGGAAGATAAAATCTTAAGGTCGTTGTTTTGTTCACACAGGTGTCTGATGTTCATTGTATCGTGCATAATGACCAAGTAAAAAATGAGTCTGCTTATTTCCAAACAGATGCCTTTGGAGATGTTTGTATGGGTATTTTCTGGACTTTTAACAAATTATTTTACAATTTTCTAAATATCATAGACATGTCATTTCTAAAGGAAATCTCTTATAAGAAAATATTTTTCTGAAACATTAGGAAAATGAACTGAATCAAAAAGTAACTCCATAAATAAAAATCTTTACCAGCTTCATCTAAGAGTGCATATTTTGTATTACTTTCCTTTCCACTAACATTTATCAATATCACCTTGTTGTGAAACTTGCTTCTTAGAATGACTTTGTTATTATGGTCCTTTAGCCTTTTTGTTGTCTGGTAGGCAAAGATCTGTTAGAATAGCTTACAGTATCTTATTTGCTTGCTTACTTTTTTCATTTGTAAGCATCTCTTCAAAGTGTTAAGGTAATCTAAAAAGGCTTCTGGCTACATATTTATGCAAAAAGCCTGAAGGTAACCAGACTACAAGATGATTTATGTGTATGTGTGTGTTTACCCTTTCTAGTTTCAGATGGAGAACACGCAAGTCCAGAGATGGTCCTCACCATTCACTTGCTTCCCACTGATCTGCAGCTGCCCATGTCCCGAGTCACAGCTCCATTGCTTGAGGTCAGCCCAGGAGGCAGCACTTCTCTAGGTAAGAGCTGGGAGCTGAAAGAAACCTGGCTTTGGAAATGCAACCGTATTTCAGCAACAGTCCTTGTTCGAACCTCTTTATGATTGCCAAAACATAGTGACCTCCTTCTCTAGAAGTGGCATCCATTCTCATCTATATCCTTCCCTCTGCCCATTTCCATGTAAATAGCAGCAGCACAGAGAGAAGGAAATAAACCTTCAGAGGCCAATGCTCAGTGATGGAATACAATCCAGAATTTATTTCCCAGCCTCTAGAAGTTTGATTTGTTGCCATCACTAAAATATAAAGTAACAGAGAGCAGAGAAGAGAAGGGAGCAGTTTCAATGACTGCTTTTGTTTTCTATATAGAAGGTAAAGAGTGACAGGAGAAATGACAGATCACAATAACCTTCAGAAGTGAAGAGTTAGTTGGTCCAGTTATTTTGTATGTGATCTTTTCTACCTATTAGGATACTTATTGATTAGAATTTTATTCATTCTTTTACCAAGAACATTTTAAAAGCAAACAATGGAAATTGTGATTTTTGTTAGGTGTGCTCTATATCCTTATCCTGTTTCTACTTGTAGATACTAGCCTAAAATTAATTACCATCCACCTTATAAACAAGCTCTATATACAAAGACGACTGTCACTCTTCCCCTACTCTTTCTCACTTCTGTGATGGCCATCACAGCCATTGTTAAAATAACTTGGCTCTTCTGTAGATTCAGAGAAAGAAGGAAATAAGCAGTGAAAGGTAAAAACAGTTTCTGGGAGTATTTTCTGCAAGAAAATCTACCCTAGTGGCTCAGGACTGACCTACACTGGGGCTTCCCTGCTGGCATTTGTATGAAAGAGAAAGGGTGTTCTGAATTCAGAACTACCTACTTTTAAGTTAATTTTCAGAAGAACCTGTTGTAATCTGGGAAGTGAGTGCATCATTAGTTTTCACTCTTGTGGTTGACTGGAACTAAACAGTGCTTTCTCACAGCTGTCAGATTACCGACAATATGGCTTTCAGCCTGGCCTGTGGTATTAAGGTATGCAGAGTATACAGTTGCTAATGCACACATCCTCTCACCATGCTTTGTTCTCCGGACTGCAGGACTTGAGGTGGCAGTAGGGGAGACCGAGGCAGCACCTGGACAGCTCTTCTTTGAGCTTCGGAAGCCTCCACAGCATGGTGTGCTCCTCAAGTACACAGCTGAGTTCCCAGGGCCCATGGCCGCAGGTATCTGTTTGTTCTGTTACTGGCCTGCTTGGAGGGGTCTCACTCTACAGTTTTTTGTTACTCAGACAAGAAGTAAAGTGACTTCACAGGACAAACTATGAGGATTTAATTAGAAAGGAAAAACCTTTAGTGTTTAGTCCACTGGCTGAAATATTTGGGTCTTCTTTCTTTGTGCCACCACCTGTGCCCCAAAACTATGAAGCTGTTTATTTCCTCAAGTTGTAGGTGAAACTGGTTGACTTCAGAAATCTGGAGTAAATTCATTTAGAACAACCTCAAATGAGGTGTCAGCTGCCCCTTGTCTGTGGTTTGTTCATGGAGATGAATTTGTCTCCCTTAATTTGGTATGTGGATCTTCATAGTGTTTTTAGCCCTGCAGTTCTGATGGTGTAACCTACATGTATCTTCATCCATTAAAAAAGGAAAAATATTTAAGTATTATCTATACAATGAAGCAATGTGGTGATATGATCAGATTTCCAAAAATAATATTTATTGCACTTCCTCCAGTTATTAAAAAAAATACCTGTTGATTGTTTAGAAAGTATAGAGAAGTATGAAGACACACTAAATCTAATGTTTTAATCATCAGCCATTGTATACCAAAGTGAATATTATTCCTTTCAATAGTCACTTGGGGATGGCTTATATTCATCTATCTCAAAACCTGTATGTAATTCCTAATAGGCATGTAATAATGCATTCTTCTGAATACCCCTGCAGAAGGAGGAATCAAGTCTTTGACCGTGAGGATAGATCAGATTTGTAAGAATGACAAATAGGCATTTGGGAGTCACAGAGGCAGCTTAATTTAAAAATTAAAAATTTACTGAACAAATGAGCTATCATTAGAATAGATTCTTATCTTCCTTAAGGGAACTACTTTAGGAGCATTAACACTTATAAAGAAATACTCAGTTTTTCTAATATTATATTTTACCTATATTTGTGTAATTAATATATGATATCTAAAGATATTTGTAAAATACTGATTCATTACTTTCTTTTTTGAGGCCCAATACTACTAGCAACAGTAAATCACAATAACTCAGTGTTGAAAGAGAAGGCTTAGAAGATGAATACAGAGAAGGAATAAATTCTTTATCCTTACTGAATTGCACCAATTATTAGAGCTAACAATCTACCAGGAAATGGAGTTGCATATAACATCCAGGAAGACCAAATTTCTCAACTGTGCTCTGTAGACTCATTGGGGCCCATGGCACTAAGAGAAAGGCATTTCTCATAAAAGGGGTTCCATTGACCAAACAATTTTGAGATGCTTTAATATTTGTACATTGAAGATTCTAAAATTCTAATAAATCCTACAGTTAAAAATATTTCTAATTTGAAATTTTGTTTAAACCTATTTTCCCCAAGCTTATTAGACCTTGACCTTTTTTTCACACAACACCTATAAAATCTATCATAGATTAGTACTCTAGACTTGGTTTGGGTCTCTAACTTCAAATATATTTTTCAATTTTTGACTTTTTTATTAAAAAAACCTTATACTTCCCTTTAAAACAAAGACCTATACAGGTTCATCAGACATAATTTATTTTCTTAACTTTCTTTAAAAATTTTCAGTATCAAGATTAGATTCTACAACAGCTATCATAAAGAATAGAGGCCTGTCCTTTATTCTCTGAACTAAGATGATGACTGGACCTTACAGAGGCAGATTTTGGCCTAATATGCTTAAGAACTTTAAAAAAATTAGAGGAATTAGCTACCTTGTAAAACAATGAGCCTCCCACCTTGAGAAGTGTTGACAGACAGTCTCAATAACCCTTTTCAAGAGTGGTGTAAAGGAAATCCTATATGGGGGAGGGTAGGAGGGTCAGACTAATTAGCTTACAACTCCCAGAGTTCATGATCCTCTGTACTTGAAGTCCTGAAAGCAAAGGTGTTATGTAAATGAAAAGTGTTACTCCCAGAAGTAATTGGTTTTGCAATTTTATTCTTGGAAGGTGATACTTTCACATATGAGGATATTGAGAAAAATGTTCTGCAATATCTACATGATGGCTCCTCTGCCCAGGAAGATAGCATGGAGATCTCAGTGTCAGATGGCATCTCAGTGACAACTGTGGAAGTGAACGTGGAGGTGTCGGGGTCAGAGGGCCAGGGGCCGAGGCTGGCTGCTGGCGCCTCTCTGAGCATTGCGGTTGCTAGTAAGAGCACAGCCGAAATCACCAGGTCACACCTTGCTTATGTTGTAAGTTCTTTCATTTGTCTTCTTCTCCATGGCACCCCTGACTGCTGACTAGAAGGCAATGCCATGGCTGAATATTTGCAGCTTTAGGTATACGGCCATATAAGGAAGCCATTTCCTCAACTTCCCTATAGTTCTACTCTTTTTATTCTGTTTATTCTGGCTGCTCTCAATGTCTCAAGAGCAAACAAGCAAATGAGCAAAACTTTGATGAAAACACAATGAGTACGCTTAGCAGTGTATGACTCTCAACAGGAAACAGTTCCAACATCATTAAAGCCCAGATCTCCATTTTTTAAAGGTCCTCCTATAATATTTCAAAGGGGAAATATTTAGATAAATATTATTTAGAGAAACAGCATTTTTAGAAGAATCTGGTCAATGACTAATAAGTAGTGGTATTTCATGGCCTACTGAGAGAAGCCCACTTTTCACCAGCTTTTGTCTCAGGTCCAGCTCTAGACAGAATCTTGGCACACTCCCTTGGCACTGCCTCTCTGCCAGACTTTCCAGGCAAGATTCCTGACTCACCCTCTATCCTGTGCCCCAAAAGAAGGGGTGTGTTTAGGTGACCAAGGGTAGATTCAGGGTCTCTAAGAGTTCTTTTTTTTGCCCCCATCTGGCCTTAACTTGATAAGCAATCCTGGTATTTTAATCATCTTCTTTGATTCTACCGGGAGCTACGGATATTGAGGATAATTAATCTTTTTTTCAGTATGTGTGTTGTAGATGAACTCTATGTAAACATAATAATGAGTATTTTGACAAGTACCTTGAAAATAAGAAATCACTATCTGAATGGTAATCAATACAAGTATTGAATTTTTTCTTTACTAATTTTACTAATAAAAATTCCAACCAATGATCTCACCTATAGTGTTTTAAGTAATCCTTTTCTGGGGTAAGGAGTCTGGCTATAAAATCTAGTCCTAAATAGTAGCGTGTAAGATAAAGCATTGGCCTGGGAACAATTGTTTCAATTGCTTTTGCACAGATTTTCTTCACAAATTGTCTTTTCTTAAATTATGGGAAATTGTATTCCACCCCGATTCTTCTCATGGGTCTAGTATACTTTCAGAGCAGCTTTGATTTTTTTTTTTAATTGACAGGTGATTTTTACCATAGGTTATGGTCTTTTAAATCCTGTGAAACTTATGAATTCATAAAAATGTATGAATACAGATTTAATCAATAGATCACCAAGGCTTGAAAAATGTTTGACAGACCTAAATAGCACTCTAGGAACAGTTCCTGCCCGTTAACTGCATATTATAAGCTGCATATCAAACTGCAAGCCGATTGACAACAAGTATTTTCAGATATTGATTGAGTATGAATTTACCCACTAGAGCAGAAAGACTCCAAAAGAACTATTGTAGCCTGCTTAAAGCATAGCATATTTTAAAGGCTTAGGTAAGTTATATACTAACTTTCTTTGAGGGTCGTAGAAGAATTTGTATCTAGTGTCATGGAGGAATTTCTTCCAGATCTGCATAGGCAGTGAGTTTTCAGTGAACAACCGGAAAGGTTGGAAAAGTCACCTGAAATGTTAGTCATAAATGGAACAGAATATAAAGGGATAGGAGTAGGTGAGCCTGTTCTTAAGTAGAGTATCATTAATTACAAGAGGGTGACACGACATTGGAAGAAACAAAAGGCAAAAATGGGATTCTATGTGATTTGCTTATTTATTTATTTAGGTATCATTGATATACAACCTTATGAAGGTTTCACATGAGCAACATTGTGGTTACTACATTAATCCATATTATCAAGTCTCCCCACAGCCCACTGCAGTCACTGTCCATCAGCATAGTAAGATGCTACAGAGTCACTACTTGTCTTCTCCATGTTATACTGCCTTCCCCATGACCCCACTACATTATGTGTGTTAATCATAATGCCTTTTAATCCCCTTCTCCTTCCTCCCACACACCCTCCCTACCCCCTTCTCTTTGATAACCGTTAGTCCCTTCTTAAGAGTCTGTGAATCTGCTGCTGTTTTGTTCCTTCAGTTTTGCTTTGCTGTTATACTCCACAAATGAGGGAAATCATTTGATACTTGTCTTTCTCCACCTGGTTTATTTCTAAATAATTTGCTGTTTAAGGATAGTTTCCTGGACATAGTTTGTTATGCACTGCAAGTAAACCAGCAGGGAAGGTATGGGTTTTGTAGTTAGACTGGATGGGTTTGTAGTTAGACTGGATAAGCTACTACTTACTAGCATAGTAACACTTGGCAAGTTACTTAACTCTCTGTAGCTCAGTGTTCTCATCTATAATACAGGGAGGATGTTATAAGATTAATCTTAAAAAGCTAATAATATTTCTATGCACCAGCCAAAAAAACAATAATTACAAATATGGCACCATCTATAATAACGTTACACAACATGTATCTAGGAATAAATGTAACAAAAGATGTGTAACTTATAGGGAAATTTGATGCTGTGACTGACTATAAAGAAAATTCTCAAGAATCTCTCGACAACATATTAGAAATAAAAGGAGAATTTACCAAGGGGCTAGATAGAAGATCAAATTAATGTCATTGCTGTACATAAGCAAAGCCAGTAAATGTAATTAAAAAGATGATACTACTTACAATAGAATTGCAAAAATCACATCTGTTGGACTAAATCTAACAAAAACCCAGCAGAACTTCTACAGGGAAAATTGTAACACTTAATTGCAGACATTTTAAAAAGCAATAAATAAATGATGAGAGGTGCCATATTCCTGAATAGAAAGATTTAGTATCAAAAATATATCAACTCTCCTGAAAAGTGAACTTTCCATTCAAAAGCCCAGTGGACTTTTTATGGATCTTGATAAGCTGATTGTACAATATGAGGAAGAACAAAGGGCCAAAATTCTGGAAAAATAAAGAAAGAATGAGGGCAGGGGCTGCCCTTTCAGATATCAGGATTTATTATAAACATGCACTATTTAAAGCAGTGTAGCACAGGAATATACTAAATAGAAAGTCCAGAAACAGACCCTCACCTGGGACTGCAGTATAAAACAGATCATAGCAAGCGAGATCAGTGGAAACAGGAGGAACTATTTAAAACATGGGTCTGTTATTCACATGGGAAAAAAAAGAACTTGTATCACTACCTCACACCCTACACAGATATTAACCCCAGGCAAATCAAGTACTTAAAGCAGTTAAAAATTTTACAAATCTTTGTAGGATATAGGTGAATATTTTTATGATACTGGGAAAAGGGAGAATTTATTAAACTAGAAATAAAAAGTGCTTACTATAAAGAAAAGATTGATAAATTTGACATATCAAAATTAAATTTATGTTCCCGAGAATACATCATAATACAGAGAACAGTTTACAAATTAGAAAAAGATATTTGCAGCACATAACCAAAAATATCAAAGAAAATGTAAAGAATGTCTGCAGATCAAGAAGTAAAAGATATTCCAGAAGAAAAATGAATAGGAAATATTAACATGAATTTTAGAAGAAGAACCCATAGATCCAATAAATGTAAGAAGAGATACCTGTGTAGTCATCAGGGAAAGCAAATTAAGACTATATACCATTTTATACCAATGTAGTTGGCGTAAATTAAAATGTCTGAAAACATTGTACATTAGAGAGGTAATGGATCTACAGGAGGTTCTTTGCTAATGGAAGTGTAAAGTAGAACGAATACTTTGGGAAAGAATTTGGCATTGTCTTATGAGAATGAGTGTTCATATACCCTAACCACTCCATTCCTAGATTCCTGTCCAAGAGACATTCTCACATGTACACCAAAGAATGTATGCACAAGAATGTTTGTAGCAAGCTATTTGTAAAAGCAAAAGTATTGGAACAAGCCAAATTCCCATCAATAGGATAACAAATAACTTGTATACTACTCTGCAGAATGGTAGAGAACACTTAAAACCAATGAACTATAGCTGCATAAAACAATATTGATGGGTCTTAGCAGTCCATGATTGAGTAAGAAGAAAAATCCCACAAGAGGAAAGTCCGACTCCCTTTCCGTAATTAAAAAAAAAAAATGCTAAAAATACTTTGTAATAATATGCCAAACTGTCTCAAGAAATTCAAGGAAATGAGCAACAAAATCCAGGACAGCAATAAGCCAGAGGACAGATAAAGGAGGAACACACAGGTAAATGTTATCAAGGTTCAAGTCTTTGTGTTGAATTGTAGGTCAGTAAATGTGTAAGCAATAAAAAGAAAATGAAAAAATAAGTCAATACAAAAAGAATAAGAAAGTCTTTGAGTAGGAAAATTATGTGAGAACAAGCTCTATATTTTCATGAAGTTTTTGCACCCACACTATCTTGAATATTCCCAAATAGTAATTTTCTTCAAATTATGACAGCATTTTCAGGGAAAACAAAATCTAGCTGATTTCACACTTTTTCAAACCCAGCAGTCTTTAGAGACTTGAAACATTATAATAAATATGCCTGACGTGAAATAAGCATTTCTTTGCCAGATTTGCCAGTGTGGAATTGAGAAACTATTTATTTTAATCAAGAGCCCGGAGATCCGTCCTTGTAGTTTGTCACCATCTTAGAAGACAATACCTTAGAATGCTCAGCTATCTTTTAAAAATTCTCTCTCAGATGCTATTCACAATAATTTTAGAAAATAGTCTTTTTGAAGCCTGCATATTATATTTGATAACCCATGTGGAAAGGTGGAGAAACTTTTAAAGTATAAATTTAAGGAAAATTATCTAAAGTTTTGTGGCTTTGGTGAGTTTGAGTGTCCTTCCTTGCCAAGTGTTGTGAGGGAATATGGGAAATTCTGTGGCCTTGCACTGAGGCTCTGAACTGCCAACTTAAAAAGGCCCCTGGGGATAGAAATGATATGTCCTCACCAGGGGTCTGTGCTCACATACCTGATCCCACAGTTCACCTAACTGTATGATGTAGCCGTGGAAATTTGCATTTGTAAGTATTGTAGCTGTGCAATACCATCACTGCTGCTGTTGAAGAGTGTAAAGTGCCCCCATGTTTACAGCCAACTGCTCTAACAGAAGAAAGACTCAGGGAAACCTTTCAAGATGCTGCCTATCTCCTAGATATTTCCAAAAATATCCTTGAAGGAAAAGGAAATTGTTAATTATTGTCCATGTAGAAACACAGAGAGCCAATTGTATTTCTCAGTAAACAATGCCCAAGGAAAGGGAAATGGTCTTTGTTAGATTTGGACATCTTGAGGATTCAGCATCCATAACTGTGGTCCTGATAGAATAAGATCGATAAGATTTCCTAAATTATTCTTGTAAACTAAAATTTATATCATGTTAAGTATTACTTAAAGTGAGTCATTGGCAAAGCTAAATAACATCCCTTCTGTTTCACAGAATTTTCTTTATCACTGTATTATAATGGAATTTACCCTTTTCTCAAAAGCAAACCATCCTTTAAAAACTCTAGAAGAAGCCTACAAATGTGGTTATAGAAAGATGATTTATATCTCTGACCATCTTTTGTTCTTCACTAAATGCTTATAATAAAAACAAAACCTTGTGTGGCTCTCTTCATAACAATGCAGCATCTCTTTGTTTTATGCCCCACACGTAAAGTGCATCTCCCCACTTTTGAACTACTCTTGAAAAATGACATTATTGAAGAGGCATTCTAGGAGGAATAAATGCTAGGATTTAAATGCAGTTTGAAATAGTGTTGCTTTATCACAAAGGGAAACAGACTTCCAATTCACAGAGAAAGAAACACCCATGCTTTTTAATGACTGGAAGTATTTATTCCTGCTAATGCACATTCATGTCTTTATATTTGCCTGACTAGGATGATTCTTCATCTGACCCTGAGATCTGGATTCAGTTAAGTTCTCTGCCCATGTATGGTGTTCTCTTAAGAATCTCAGGACCTGAGGTGGAAGAACTCTCAGAGGTTTCCAATTTCACAATGGAAGACATCAGCAACAAGAAAATTAGGTATGTAGCCAGTCTGTATTACTTAACAGAATTTTTTTATGTATTAAAATATTTAAGCAACTAATCAGTAGCTCCCTTAAAAATTTTACTGCTATTGGCCCCATTCTTAAATAAAGCTGTAGTTATTTACCTGGCTTGTCAGTGTAGCTCATTCATTTGGTTCTTCTCTTGGCCTCTGTAGGTATTCAGCCGCTCTTGAAACTGATGACCATGTGGTTGCTGATAGCTTCCGTTTCTCTGTCTCTGATACGGACCACAACCGTCTGGACGATCAGATGTTTTCCATCATGATCACTCCTGTTGAGAATCCACCTCCAGTCATTGCTTTCGCTGACCTTATCACGGTAAACAATTCTCCAGTCAATCAACAGTGAGAGCTATAGATAGCTGGAGTCTGTGGCACTGTAAATAAAGGATTTCAACTTTAAGTGGCTGCCAAGTTCTTTCCCCGAAGTGTCTAGGCAATAATATCAAGATGTGCATGGTTTTCAATCATTAGTTTTTCAAAAAGTGTGAAAATAATTATATCCACATTATTTAGTCAAATATTTATGTGCTATATGTAAATGTTAGGTATGTATAGTGTTTTATATACTATGCCAGATGTGTATTGTAATGGGAGTAATCTTAGAAACAGAATGTATCTTTGAGGAGTTTGCAATCTAATGTTTGTAGCAACTAAAACATGGGGATATGGACAGTGTCCCCAAGTCTCCCTAACTAAAGTTGACACTTATCATCATAATCAGTATCAACAGTTTCTTGGGATGTGGGGAAGGGGACCTGAGTTTAAGTTCTGATTCTAGTACTTACTAGCTGAGTGACCTTGGACGAATGAGGGAATCTTTCTTAGCTCAATTTCCTCATCCTCAAAATATTAGTATTCTTGTTACATAGAGGATTGCTCTGATAATTAGTCAAATAGCATTTTAAAAATCTTAGTACAGTACTAGAACACACAGTAGAGAGTCCATAAGAGTTAGTTCACTTTCCTCATCCTGCACTCTATATTTACAATAATGCCAAAAACTCAGGAGTTTTTCTGGTTTTGTCAGACAAACTAAAAATTCAGAAAACTGAGGTGTTTCTAAACAGTTCTGATAATTAGTTCTAAACAGAACTGATCAGTTCTGATATTCCACCCATTTTCCCATTCCCACACCTTGGAGAAGCCATTTGTTTGGACTTGCCCCATTCCCGGAGTCAGGGTGACCTTGCACTCTGTAACTTGTAGAATTTCCTACTTTAGTGAAGAGTTGTTCAGGGTGAAACAGTTTGGTCGGATCCAGCAGGCTAGCAAAAACACCAGGCTCTGGTTGCAGAGTTTGCATACAAAACAAGGCCCTCAAGGAAAAAGTTAGTTCAAGTAACTGCCTTTACTGCTACTGATTTACTTTCCTCCTTAGGCACTAGGTTTCAGGGGTGGTGAGCCCTTTCTTCCTGCACATTTATAAACACATACTGTAAGGGGATGAATACAACTTTTATTCTGGGTGGAGGACAGAGTCGCCCTTATAGTATATCCCAGGGAGGCCTGGATGGATCATTCCCTAGCTGCAGGTTTTTGAATGTTGATGCGGATGGAAGGCAGCCATCCTGTCCTGCAGCTGTGCTGAGGTCGGTGATTAGAATGGGCCAGAGCTCCTTTATAACCAGATCCATCATCGAAAGAAGCACAACTTTGAAGGGAGACATGGAAGTCATTGTGTCTGAGTGGAGCTCTGAGGGCGCTGAAAGATTGCCTGGCTGCCGCAGCGCACACATCCCTCATCTCGGCGGTGGAGGACCTGCCTCCTCACAGAAGTGGAATTGATGCTGGAAGGTCACCCCGGGCAGCACTTTTCAATTCAGTTCTTTTCTCAGCCGTTATGTGCAGTCGTCCAAGGACTCTCTCCATCTTCTCTTCCTTAGGTTGAAGAGGGAGGGAGAGCCCCACTCTCGTTTCACCATTTCTTTGCTGCTGATGAGCATGAGCACCTCCAGGGAGATGCCGTCATTAAACTAAGCGCTCTGCCCAAATACGGCTGCATTGAGAACACGGGAACAGGTACCAGCAGCAGCTTCGCTGTAGAGCTGTTTGGGCTCTGGGAAAAAGGGAGGCTGGAGGGAGAAACTGTCTTCAGTTAAACCTGGACATGGAGAACTAAGAGGCATGGAACTGTTGCAGAGAAATGGAAGGAAGGTTTCATTCACTCAACAAAAATTCCTGGAGCATTTTCTGTGGGCCAGCCCCTTTTTAAGTGCTCAGGATATACCAGTAAACACAGGCAAGAAAACCCCTGCCTTCAGGGTGCCTTTGATCCTGGTGAGGGGAGATAGATAAGAAACCTAGTAAACGAGAAAATTATGTGTGATGTTAGGAGGAAAATCAGTGTTATGCAAAAAAATAGAGCAGGGAGAGGCGCTTTGGAGTGCTAGCAGTGAGGATGGAGGGGCTGGTGGACTGCTCTGACAACTGAGGGTCAAGGAAATAAAAAGGGTGTCCTTTTATTGTAAGGCAGCTGCAGTTTAGCTGAACTGTAGCTCATGTCTCAGCTGCTTGTAAGGATATGACAGGAATTGCAATGTGTGCTTGTCTGTCAGTGACCCTCTGCTCGGCATCCCTCCCCCTCCACCATCTGCCCTGAACCCACTGCCCTTGGTGGTGGTTACCCTGAGAAGGAGAGGCAAGAAGGCGTGTCCCATCTGCAGGCCCCCTGAGACCACAGTGACTGGCAGTTGAGACAGCTCATGGCAGGTTCCTGTGCTGCTGCTCTGTGCCAAGACTGCCGAGTGCCAGCACTGGGCTCTAATTGGCAGGCAGGCTGCAGCTCCCACAGGGCGGCCACTGACTGAAGGTGTCTGTGGCCAGCATGGTGCCTGGGATTTGAGCCTGGTTACTGGAAATTCATTTAGCAGTAGATGTGTTTGCCTATAGAAAATCTTGAGTGTTTTTCCAACTTGCCTTTCTGTGTGTGCACTTAGAATTTTTATTGCTGACTTAGGTTTATCTCAGCAAATGTTTATGCTGGAAACAGTGGATGTCAAGATGAATAAGACACAGCCCTTGCCTTGAGTAGGAGACAGATATGGAGGCTGATAAACCACAATAAATAAAACCACAACAAATAGAAAGGGAAAGGAGTAGAGCACCAGGAAAATCCATAGGACTAACAATGACTTTGCCTGAGTAGGCAGGAAAAAAGTCTAAGGAAGTAACATTTGACTTGGAACTTGAAGGGATAGTGGGAGTCACTGTGGGCAGAGGGAAGATGGCATTTCTTGCAGAGCGCAGAGCATTGGCAAAGGTGGGCAGTCATGCTTCCAGCCTTCCCATCTCTCCCAGTGGTTTCTTATTAAGCATTGCTAACGAATCTACGTTAATCTGGAATACATGTCAAGAGGTATTAACACTGTTCTGGAAATAAAATTTCTGGCAAGCCTCAGCCTCTCTGAAAAGCTGTTCTCAAACCTTAATGTGCATAAGACTCACCTGAAGGACTAGTGAAAACACAGTTGCTTGGGCTGTTACCCCAGAGGCTCTATTTGAGGAGGTTGGTGAGGCCTCTGCACTGACATTTCTCACCAGCTCATAGGCTATGTTGTCACTGCTGGCCCAAGGGTCACACTTGGAGACTGCCAATCTACATTAGTATGAACATGGAAGTAAGGAAAAGATGTGCAGGGAGGCAAAGAATTGTCCTAAAACACATCATTTAAGGACCCCACCCTTTAGGTTTTCATTGCCGATTCTGTTCTATGTATATGAAACAAGCTGCCTAGTTTCAGAATCCAGCAGATCAGAATGACTTTTTAAAAACATTACCAGAAGCAGCTTTAATGTCTTACCAGCAAGAGGGGAAGAAACAGAATAATTATATTGTTAGGTATAAAGTCCAAAAACATGGAACCTACATTCATTTAGTACCAGCACAAACAGGACGGGACCCACCTTGATTACCTCTAGGGCGTCATTGTTCCAACACAATTCAGTAAGAGATGTTCATAACGATCGATAGCTGTGCCTCAAGAACTATTTAATTCACATAGTATAGTCTGTTTAAGAAGGCAGGGAAGCACATTATTAAGAATGCTTTATATGAAAAAATAGAAGGTACAGTTTTAAAAATTGGAAGGATTGGTGCTTAAAGCTTCAGTGACAGATTTACTTGTTGAATTCACTTGTTGAATAACAGAAAAGTCATTATTCTATTTGAGTCTATTTTTAGGCATCATTTACCTTAGTTGGGCTATTTTTGACCAAATATAGAAGCCATACTTCTCAGATTTATAGTGATCAATGAAAAGAGAAAATATAAATTTGAAGGAATTATAGCAGTTCCTTCTGGAAACCCTGAATTGTATGTCCTAGAGATTATCAAGTTACTGACCACTTAGACCCCTGTGTGTTTCTGGTAGCAAGATGAATCAAATCTAATGGGTAAAATTTACATTATTGAAGAAAAAAAAATGTTTGTCTTGACTTCTCATTTCAAACAAATAATAAATAAAACTTTTTCATTTCAAGTCTTTCTTTTGGGAAGTCAACAAAAAATGACACTGTCTACAATTCAGGACATCAATGGCTTTTTAATTTCTGACCTGATCTTTGCAAAGGACAATGGAAGAGGGAAAGATAAAGCCTTGTTGCTTTCAGATCTTCTGTCTGCACTTTTCTTTGTCGATAAATAGCCAACGATGTTTGAAGACATGGGGTTTTCTTTTTTCTCCTCTTTTTAGAAGACAGTGTGGTAACAATTTAAGATAAATCAATTAGAGAGACTCACACCAAGTAAGAGACACGTCTTCTATCACTTAGACAGTGCTTACTCTTACCTTTGGTCTTTTACAGTATTTGGCATTGGGATGAAAGAAGACTTAACCAGAGCCAGCACTTTCTGTGGAGCTCTGAGTGCTAGTTGAGCATGTCAGTAGCTGAGTGCACTTGAGGTCTGGGTGGTTCCTGAGCTTCACAGTAGCCCTGGTGTACCATCCCAGGAGCTGAGCTCTGACCCGTGCAGACGTTTCCTTAAGTAAGTGAGAAGTCAAATGGAGACATGAGTAAAGAGACTGCTGTTATGTCATTACTTGCCCCATGACTTATGAAATATTTCTAACAAAACACTCACTGATTCTGTGCTATATAATAACGTTCCAAGTGCTTTTATGCACATTATCTCAATTGATTCCCCATGGAAACGTCAGGGCAGGTATATCCCCTTATAGATGAGAAATGATGAGGAACCTGGGATCTACCCCAAGTCTTCCAGTTCCTGGTCTTGTGCACTTTGCATTCTCTCATCCTTATCCTCTAACTTAACATCATCTTTTATGGAACACTCTCATGTTTTCTAGTTCTGCTTAGTAAGCAGGAATTGATGGATCAAGGTAAAAGTTCTCTCTTGATGTCGATGCAGGTGATCGTTTTGGCCCTGGAACTACCAGTGACCTGGAGGCATCGTTTTCTATTCAAGATGTCCTGGAAAACTACATTTACTACTTTCAGAGTGTTCATGAAAGCATTGAGCCAACCCACGATATTTTTAGTTTTTATGTAAGTGATGGAAACAGTCATTCAGAAATCCACAGCGTCAACATCAACATTGAGGTAAAGACTGTGAAGCTGGGAGAGCTGGGCCTTTGACCACAGTAGCCCACCATTAGATAGATTTTATATGAACTCAAAGGCAAAGATGGCATTTGACCTTCAATTTGAAAGGTCAATTAAAAAATATAACCCTGACGTTTAGGAAACTTGTAGAATTAAGGCTGGTATTTGGGGATATTCTGACTCAGAAATCGGAATTTTCATTCAGGGTAAAATGTATTTGTTCTGCGTGAAAAGATTTTGTGACGGTTAGACAGAAACTTTACCAGTCTCATATTTAAAGGAAAACTAACATATGCCTGTTTGCCCCCAAAGTTATTATATATGGTTCTATGTGCATACTTGCCTTTTTAAATGTTTTTAATGCATTTATTCATTAAATCGTGACATCAAAGAAATGTATTCCTCCATTTGTTATTTATTCTCATTTGAGCAACCACAAAGGCTTGCTCTACCACCCCAGGAACAAAGAGAGAGAGAAGATAAAACTCAGAATGGAATATCCTCTGCCTTGGGTACCCTCAGCACCCTACATGGACAATGGTGGAGGGGGGCGGTGTGAGGGTAGGAAGACAGCTTTAGAAACCCACACTTATAAATATGGTATCCTCCTACAGACACTGTGGTGATACGCTGAGGGTTTTCTAAGACAGTTCTGATTTCAAATAATGTGTACTTTTTCCACAAAATACACTTATACTCATCTAACCCCATGTGCATATTTTTGGTTTGGAAAATACGATTATTGCACCTATAGAAAATAGCTGAGAAGATTTCTGTAGCTTGTCCCTCAGTTTTTTTCAAGAGGACATTTTGTTTGTGTGACTTACTCTCCTTTGAAACTAATCAGTTGATTAGGAATTAAAGATGGTGACATATTAAATGCTACTTTTAATAGTGAAATCTGATGTAACAATGCTTTCTTTCCATAATGTGCATTTTTTTCCTTCTTAAACCAATGTATCTGCAAGACCTCATAATTTATGTTTTAATCAGAGGAAGAATGACGAGCCTCCCAGGATGACCTTGCGGCCCCTTGGTGTGCAGCTAGGCTCAGGAGTGGTGATAAGCAATTCTTCTTTGACCCTGCAAGACCTGGACACTCCAGATAATGAGCTGACTTTGGTATTGACAAAAAAGCCTGACCACGGTAGGACACAAATGCTATGGAAATCTTCTTAACTGAGGTGCCTGATGGATTATTAGAATAAACACATAGATTTCAGTTGGTTATACTTCTGCCTTGCCTATATAGTTTATTCTTTGCATCAAAGTATAATAAAATTCATGGCTAGCTACTATTCTTTGGGGTCATAGTAGACACCAGTTACTCTAAAAGCCTGAATCGTAGGTGATTGGTGTCTCCAACATTCAATTCCACCTGTTTTCTTGCTTTCCTAGGTAACCTCAGGGAAGACAGTTTTCATGGGCTCCGTATTCTCTTCTCAGAGTAGGCATCATTGCTTGATAATCCTGAGCCATCTCATGGGAGGAACAGTGTGGCAGCCTTGTTATTAATTGCAAAAAGGTGTTCACTTCAGCTTAGAGGGCAAGGTAGATGTCTTTATGAGCTTGTTCCTTTTGCAAAGAAAGCATTTTTTCTCATTTAGCCAGAGGTAAGAACCATCATGGGAATCTTCTACCTGCTTCATTTCTAAGTGCCATCCCCCTGGTATTAGCTAAAGCTCTGGAACTTTCATTTCCCAAGCGGTGTCTTAGCCCATCATAACGCCCATTGGTCTTTCAAAGATGGAGTAATTGCTGTCAATGGAGGGCTGATAGCAGAGGCTGCTGGTCTTCACAGTTTAGCTTTCCTTCCTTTACTTTCACTTTGTTTAATGAAGCACTTTAACTGTCCCCTTGCTGTACATGTGACCCTTGAAAACAGAAAAATATGCCTCAACCCAAAGATGCTTAGTGTCTTCCTGAATTTTTTCCTATCTCCCATCCCAGATGCCCTAAGAGAAAGGCAGTGAGAGAAAAGTGCTCTTTTCACTTTGCAGAAGGGAAAAATAAGGTTTTGATAATGAAGTGAGTTTGAAATCATGGAGGAAGAGTTGATTTCTAAGCCACTGTGCTACCACATCCATCTGTGTCTCTTTAAGAGATTTTTAACCAGGAAAAGTAAGATTTTATCTTTATTATAGATGAAGCCACAGGGCAGCACCCTATGCTTATACATGAAATGCTAAGTTGTTGGTCATTTATGTGTACGTGTCACTGAGAATCTCTGAGGTACTTGACGTTCCACCCAGGCTCATACCAGATAAAAAATCTGACAATGTTTTGGTAACATTTATGTTCTACCTTGTTTCTTTGTTTTTCTTTACTTCCTTCCTCAGGTCATCTGCTCAGGAGGCAAACTGCTTCTGAGCCTCTGGAGAATGGGAGGGTTTTAGCTCAGGGCTCCTCCTTCACCTACCAGGAGGTCCTGGCCGGGTTGGTTGGGTACATGCCAGGTAGTCCAGGTGTGGCAATGGATGAGTTCCGGTTCTCCCTGTCCGATGGCCTCCACACAGACACAGGCAGGATGGAGATACACATACAGCTGCCTACAAGTGATGCCCCCCACTTGGCTGTAAACCAAGGCCTACGGCTCTCAACAGGTACCACAGGATGGAAGAGAGTGGCATGGTTCTTCTGTCCTTCTTTCTTCTTTCTTGGTGTGCAGAACTTCCTTCGAAGTTAGCTCTATGGGAGGATTTTGAACTAGGTATTCAGAAATTTAGGAAGGTTAGAACTGGGGAGAACTGTTGCTTTAGGTCACTAAATTTTGAGTAGCAAGTGAGAGTCTTTGAGTTCTTTGGATCAGATGCATCTGTCAGTGAATTTGAGAAAAGATTAAGCAGAGTTTATAGTATTTCCAGGGTCCTTAAAAATCTTAATTTATCCAGCTACTAATAGTCTCAGGTTTCTTGGAGCATTGCCACTGTGCAACCAGCCCCACGGAAACAAATGACAAATGAAATCTAGCAGGATTTTCAAGATGCTTATTTTTAAAAATAAGCTAAAGAGGGCATGGAGGGACAATTGGGAAGCCATCATGCACTAAAAAGATTGTGCAAATAGTTAAAAATAATTATATACGGTATTCTAAGGTTCAGCATTCACAATTTTGCCTATGTATAAGCAACCCTGAAGGACCTATGACAAGTGTCACTCTTAGGGTCAGTTTGCAGTGGCAAGTTACTAAATTAGGGAGTGTAACTTTTGCCCACAGACCATCTACATCCCACTGGGGTTCTGTTTCCTTGCCTATTCTTAGTTTCACATGTATTTTGTAGTGAAAAATATATGGCATAATGATATTTGAAAATTGGAGATTCCAAGAAGTCTCAAGTATTAGGTCTGGGATTTAACTTTATTTACAAGATAATTGGTTAGCTTGTTATGTTTCATGGATGCTGGTAGAAGACAATGAGATTCCTTGTTCAGAGACAAATGACTGTTACAGCACAGCAGGCAGCATCACCATCAGCAAGTCTGTATCAGCTCCCTCTGCCCTCATATCTGCCCCATGTAGGTGGGCCAGGTGGATGCCTTCCCATGCAGTGGGATGAGTTACCGAAGGGGGACACCGAGCTTTGGGAGCCCTCCATGTTTTAGTAAGCAATAAGCAAGCCTGATCCCTGTCCCAGAGGGAGATATCGCCTCATCCCTCAAGACTGCTTGCTGAGAATGGCCTTGGGGGAGTGGAGAGGCCAGGGGTCCTTGTGCTGTTGGCATTGCCCAGCAAGAACAAGCAGGGATGCGCAGGCCCATTGTGGACTGCTTCTCCAAACACCAGGGTGTATTACACATAAATGGCTAGCATCTGCTTTGCCAGAACTTACTATTTTTAATATAAGACACTGATTTTTAACTATTGGGTCTGAGATGGCAACAAAGATGTTTGTGAGTCTATGTAAAGCTCTTTCTTATGATTAGGGGATCCTCAAGACAGTGAATTAATTAGGTCCAAGCAGGTCTCATCATAAATCTAGGAGTTATTTACATTCACAGAACAGGAGTTATTACATAGATCTAGGTACAAAAGAACAGATCAGAGAGAAAAGGACTCAGATCTAATGTCAAGTAGTGATTAGCAAATTGGGAAGTAGGGACTATTTCACTTAGGGAAATTAAAATTCATTCAGCTGAAAAGTGAGAAGGGCAAGCACCTGGTACTTATATAGACCTAGGCAGTGGGCAATAATTTAGTCCCAGTCTCCCAAAATCACTTGACATCCTATTCAAAGGCAGTGATGGGGAATGACCTACTCTCTCTCATGCTCTTGCAGGGTCTGTGGCACGCATCACAGAACAGCACTTGAAAGTGACAGACATTGACTCAGATGAGCATCAGGTGATATACATCCTGAAGGAAGATCCCAGCTCAGGGCGCCTGCAGATGGTAAAGCCTGACAGCGTGGAGCAAATCTCCGTTAATGGCCCCATCCGAAGTTTCACCCAGATGGACATTGGCCAAGGTCAGCCAATTCTCTTCTGCCTACCCAGACTTCCATGGACTCCACCCACAGTAGTAAAATGGGAGTTAAATACCTGGTAGCCTGTGGTAGTAAACTGTGCTCTCTTTGTTTTGGGTAAGAGCTGAATCATAGCTTCATTTATTCTTTCTTGCCTCTTCAATTTTTTGTTTTTAAAAATCTACCCTTCTTGGCTAACATGTGTCCATGCTTTGCCATAGCATTGATGGAATTTGGGACTATTATGGAGGAGAAAAATCATTTTGATTTGCTATGATGCTAAAAAGTGTGTGTGAGAGAGAGAAAGGAAAGAAAAGTGAATTGGGATAGATTAAGGTGAAAATTATGCCCACCTAAGGTGAACAATTTATATCTATTTTCAGCCTCCCCAAAGAGCACAAGTTAATGAACTAAGCGAAATGGAAGGGCATAAATTGGAACAGCCTGGGGGAGGTCACATACCTCATCCCTCCTCCAGAAAATGCTGGTGTAATGCAAAGGCATAAATGTTAAATGCTACGTAGTTACTGTACAGAGCTTTTTAGGACAAAACAAAGGGGAACAAAAGATTACATATTGGGGAGAAAAGTAATCGAAAGGCATGTGATGATGTGCAGTTCCATTTCCCATGGAAATGTGCCCCGAAGGAGCAGGAATAAAGGTCCTGTTCCTGCACTGAGACCTAAAACCCATGCAGCCTGGTCCCCATGAAAGCCTGTGCTTTTGTGAAGGGGGCGCCATGGGCAAAGGGGCAGTATTTCCTTAGTTACTCCTTGCCTCAGGGTCTCTTTTTTAAAAATGAGACCAGGCTCCTCTTCCCAGATATTTGGTTAGACTTATATTGCTGAGTACACATAAGTGATGCTGTGGGTTAACAAAAAATGTAATACACTATACTCTTCCCTTTGGATCCTTTTGACTTCTAGGTCAAGTTTATTTATTTTGTTTATATATTTGTTAGTTGTTTATCTCCTATGTTCTTCCAAAATTAATTTAAGGCAGTTTGGGGAATGGGGGTGATGAGCTCCAGGAAACCCTGGGCTGCAGCTCTGTGTCCTCATGCCCTGTGACGCGGATAGGTAACAGGGCCACACCAACGATGTGGGAGGGTCGGTGCACACCTTCCCTATGGGCAGCTCTGCTGATCTGGTGGTTGTTTATAAGACTTCCTTAGAGTCTTTCCTGAAAGCTGATTCTCAACCATAAATAATGCTGCTTGGGGTGATTTTATTTTGAGTGCATCTTTGATTATGAGAAAGTAGATAGTGGGAGCGGAAAGGGAGGAAATGAAAACTTGAGATTAAAATGTCAAAAGCAGTGTCAAAATGAGAAAGGCGCTGATTGGTTCATTAGTGTGAATACCAGTTGCATTCCCACCTGACACTTAAGAAGTGAGGACAGAAAGCACTAATGGCGAATCTTGGTGTTCTTGTCCCATTTATAGGCCGTGTAGAATACAGCCACAGAAAAGGAGAATCTGGTGGGAGCTTTGCTTTTAAATTTGATGTGGTTGATGAAGAAGGAAACAAATTGACTGGCCAGTCATTTTCCATCATTGTTTTAGGTAAGAGGGCATTAGGTTCCTAAAAATCCCCTAGCAGTTCTGAACTTAGACAGTCTACACTGCACTCCCCTTCAGGCTTAAGCCCTTGTTTTGATGGGGAAATCTGGAATCGGACCCCTCTGTTCTGTAAAGCTCCTTGGTGCATTCTCCGAGGGACAGGTCTAAGGGCTATTTGATCTTACCCCTGGGCACCAGGCCCAGAATTGAAGAAAGGAATCTGAAAAAAATACCTTTTCAAATCACTATTTCGGATTATTTTCAGAAGACAAATCCCCACCAGTCATCATCACCAATAATGGGCTGATCTTGGATGAGAACTCAGTGAAGAAAATCACGACTCTGCAGCTCTCTGCCACTGACCAGGAGGGCGAGCCTGCAGAACTGATCTACAGAATCGATGGACAGCCCCAGCTGGGCCACCTGGAGCATGCGGCATCACCAGGTAAGCCTGTCAGCTCTTGTTTCATCAAACCAAAGGACGGGCTTTAGTAAGATGGGGGAGCAGCCCCATCGTGTATATACAGATACCTACAGCCTGCCTTTATTAGTATTTATTTCTGCATCAGTAATTTTGACCATTATATTCTATCTTGCATTATACTTAATAAATAGCAGATGCTCAATAATTATTTGCTGAAAGTTGAATAAAAAAATTACAATTTTATATAAGCAATCTTGTCTCTATAACTAGATTGTCAGTTCCTTTAGGGAGAACACTGCACCCTGTTTTTCTTCTAAAGTCTGCATGACTGGCATGGTGTGATGAACTGTCCTTAAAAATTGAACTCCAGAATAGCAAGAGTGCATGTGTACTGAGCAAGATTCTAGTTTAGCTGCTGCTGGGAAAAATATAATGATAAATGAAATACAGTCTTCATCCCCTAGGGTTCTCAACTGGATGAGATAAGGAACCACTACATATAACCATATATAAAGGAAGAAGATGGCAGATATTTTAAGATATTTAAGAATTGTATAAACCTGGAGCCCGAAAGTGGGCAAGGCTATACCAGGTGGGAAGGTGCACAGAAGGTGGCGTCCAAGAGAGCCCTTTCAAGGCAGAGCTTGGGCAGACAGAATCTGTGCTATTTCCAGAAGTGGAAGCAGCATGAGGGCATATTAAAAAAATAATGAGTGGGCCAGTTTAGCTAAAGCATGTATTCTGGAAATAGTAGTAGATGGAGCTCATGGGTAGATTGAGGTTTTATGGAAGGTCTTCAAAGTGGGGATAAGCAATCCCTATTCAATTCAATAGGCGATAGGGAGTCACTGCAGAATTTTGAGTGGGGAAGGGAAGTGAAACCCATCTCATGTCCAACAGGTGAACTGAAAGAAAAAATAATGAACTGACAGGATGACCTGAAGGAAGAAAAGGGAAGCAGTGGGTAGGAAGTTTCACATCTGGCCAGATAAGAGCTGGTGAGACCTCACTGGGGGAGGGGGAGGCAGTAGTGGGAGTAGAAGATGAGAATAATGTAGGAGATAATAACTAGTACCTAGTAAGTGTTCAATAAACAATAGCTGGTGGAAGGCAGGAAGAAAGGAAACTTGGGCAAAGCTATGGAACTTGACAGATGAATGGTTGTGAGGACAGAGATTTTTGTTAACTAAAGAGTCTAAAGCTAGAATTGTCTTTATTTCATATATTGCAAAGGCAGTGATGGTTTACAGGAAATTTAGATCTTCACTGGTTTTCTTATGGTTATGAATTCTTCATTCAACCAGGGGAAGAGCAAAAAAGGGGAAGAGGAGAGAATACTCGCTCTCTAATACAGGGAGCCAGACGGTCAGCAAACAAGTGAGCAAATACGTCATATGGCAGTGGTGATGAGTGTTGGAGAGAGAAATAAGGGCATTCCTGGGGTGCAGGGAGCAAGCCAGGGAGGAATGTCCTCCCTAATAATAAGATGACATTTGAGCAGAGATCTGAGAAAAGTGAGGAAGCCAGCCGTACTGACCAGTGTAAGGAAAGAGCATTCTGACAGAGGGGTCAGCAAGTGCTAAGATCCTGGGGCGGGATCAGCCAGGCACTTCACCTTTCAGAGGCAAGGAGATCAGTGTAGCTGCAGCAGAGTGAGGTGGTGGGGTGGAGGGGTTGAAGGAGGCAGACCTCGTCTGGGTCCAGGGTGATGGTGTGGGAGAGTATATGGTGGTTGGGCTTAGGGAAGGATGGACAGATTGGCCCAAATCCCTAGTGCAAATTAAAGTAGGTGACTTACCCTTTGATCCCGAAGTTCCCCTGGGGAAATACACAGATGAGCCCTTCCAAGACCTTGATTGCGTGAGATGTTTGATAAGGAATTCATGAGCTAATTGCTCTGCCAGAAATCTGTCAGGTTGCTGATTGTATCTCTACGAAGATGAAAGGACAGACTTTTGGTTGTTTCATTGGGCAACTGCCTCCACACCATACAAGGCTTTCAAAGGCTCCGAGCTTCGTGGAAGGCACTGCCAGCTGCCTACCTGCTGGTAAGTCCCAGTCCGCACTCTTCTCTGCCCCCAGGCTGTGTTAAGAGGCCTGTGTGAGGCTGTTTCAGATTTAACTTTTCTGTTTTTACAACCATGGCCTTCACTGGGCCTAAATTCTGAGCCAAGACCAGGCCGGCACTGCTTAGGGAGAGACCAGTCAGTAATCACGCTGCTCCCTCTTCTGGGGAAAGTACCTCCAGGATAGGGAGCGTGTGCTCCCTCTGCCTGGGATGATGGCCCCTTCACCCGCCCCTTTTCACTGGGCCTTGCACTCCGCAACTGCAGTGTCTCCAGCCTCCAACCCCCGCTTTACTCTTGGGGGCCCCTCCCCATTGCAATGAGGCAGGCTTCCCTGCCCCTCCAGTACCATCAGCCCCACCCTGAGCCTTTTCTGTAGCATTTGGCCAGAATTCTCCCCTTCCCTCTTTGCCGTAAGTGGATATGTCATGAATATTTTCATGGATATGATTCTTTTTAAATGTAGAAATCGCCCTTGAGAGGAAGTGCATACTCATTGTCCTCTCTTGGGCAACTGGCTGCAGCTTGAGGCAAAGTAGGAACCTCCCAACCCATGTGTCTCATGGTGTGGTGAGGATGGGTCTAGCTGAAATTGGGCTGGGGTCTGTCCTTTCCAAGAAGAGCCAGGATGCTTTTAGGCCAGGGTCTGTTGTGCACGCACTGAGCTATTTTGGGGCTGGTTGCCTCTTGGAGTTACCATTTGCCACCAGCACTTGCAGACATCCTCTGGATGGTGAAGTAGGAAGGGGACTTACTCCCGTGCTGTCTTTCTTGGTTAGTTGATTGTAATTGGTTGTTCTTGGTTGTTCTTGTTAGATAGATAGAAAAGGCACGAAGAGCCTCTTCCCTTCCCTAAGGGGACATGGGGAGCCACAGGGCTTTGTGATCTGTGCAGCAGGCACACACGCGCCTCCTACCACTGAGGAGAGGAATGTGAAAGTTAGTCCCTGCATGTGCTCTTTGAGAGTCCACGCCATCGTGTCAGGGACCCTAAAGACCCTCTTTTTCTTGGGAAATCCAAGTTAGGAATCATATTAGTAGTACAGAAGCTAAGCTGCTAGAACAGACTCCAAATTACAAGACTTCTTAAATAAGTTATTTATTTTTGCTCACAGAAACACGCAGAAGCAGGTAGCCCAGCTGGCCTCGGGTGCCTCAGAGACCCTTCAGAGTTGTCATTCCCCAGCCAGCAGTAAAGGCCAAAAGCCACGGGAGCCCCAGCCATTTCTTGTTTAGGAGTGTTCCTGAAGAGCACACATCACTTCTGACCACATCCCAGCGTCAAAACTCCAGTGACACAGAGCTGTGAGGTGGCTGGGAAATGCGCGTGCTCACTGGCACCCGGTCACTTAACTGCTCCTCAGGAGTTGTACGTATTTTTACAGCAGGGGAGGAGTAATACTGGAATATCACAGTCTCCGGCATGGCACAGTTCCCACCTTCACCAACACTTACTGAGTAGCTGCTGCAGGAGGAAACTCATGTTTTGGAAAAGGGAGCCATGTAAAAAAATATGTGCAAATGTGTTTCAGTAGCTGTGAGAGCAACAGGACAGAGGACAGAGGGATCAAAGGACAGTACACTCCACCTGAGAGAGGGGTGGGGGTGAGTCAGGGGACACCACCCAGAGGGGATGTCTCAGCAAAGGTATCCCTTGGCTTCCTCTGTATCTCAGCCTGTTTGGTAGTGACACCAGCCAAACTAGGATGAACCCGCTGTCGTCTCTGGGGTCATCTGTGTCTGCTAGGGTGCCATAATCAAGTCTCACAGACTGAGCAGCTCAGACAACAGAAATGTATTGTTTCACGGACACTGTAGAACAGGATCATGGTGTCAGCAGGGCTGGTTCCTTCTGAGGGAAGGATCATTCTGGGCTTCTCTCCTTGGCTTATAGATGGCTGTCTTCATGTGTACAAGGCGTTGTCCCTGCATGGGTATATCTGTGTTGAAATTTCCCCTTGATAAGGACATTAATCATACTGGATTAGGGCCCACCCTAATAACCTCATCTTAACTAATTACATCTACAGTGGCCCTATTTCCACATTGTGAGGTGCTGAGAGTTAGGACTTCAGCATAT